ACATCCCCTGTCAAACATGAAGTCTGTCTCTACACTTAGACATCCCCTGTCAAACATGAAGTCTGTCTCTACACTGAGAGTTCCCCTCGTAAACACGAAGTATGTCCTTACAAAGAGACATTCCCTGGTATACACTAAGTCTGTCCTTACACAGATACATTCCCTGGTAAACAAGAAGTATGTCTCTGCACTGAGAAATTCCCTGGTAAACACGCAGTCTGTCCTTACACAGATACATTCCCTGGTAAACACGAAGTCTGTCCGTACACAGAGACATTCCCTAGTAAACAGGAAGTATGTCTCAGCACTGAGACATTTCCTGGTAAACAGGCGGGCGGTCCTTACACAGAGACAATCCCTGGTAAACATGAAGTCTGTCCTTACACCGAGGCATCCTCTGGTAACCACGAAGTCTGTCCTTACACAAAGACACCCTCTGTTAAACAGGAAGTATGTCCTTACACAGAGACATTCCCGGGTAAACACGAAGTCTGTCCGTACACAGAGACATTCCCGGGTAAACACGAAGTCTGTCCTTACACCGAGGCATCCTCTGGTAACCACGAAGTCTGTCCTTACACAAAGACACCCTCTGGTAAACATGAAGTCTGTCCTTACACCGAGGCATCCTCTGGTAACCACGAAGTCTGTCCTTACACAGAGACACTACCGGGTAAACAGGAAGTCTGGCTCTACACTGAGACATTTCCTGGTAAACAGGCGGGCGGTCCTTACACAGAGACATCCCCTGGTAAACACGAAGGCTGTCCTTACACAGAGAAATTCCCTGGTAAACATGAAGTCTGTCCTTACACCGAGGCATCCTCTGGTAACCACGAAGTCTGTCCTTACACCGAGGCATCCTCTGGTAACCACGAAGTCTGTCCTTACACAGATACATTCCCTGGTAAACAAGAAGTATGTCTCTGCACTGATACATTTCCTGGTAAACAGGCGGGCGGTCCTTACACAGAGACATTCCCTGGTAAACAAGAAGTATGTCTCTGCACTGAGAAATTCCCTGGTAAACATGAAGTCTGTCCTTACACAAAGACACCCTCTGTTAAATATGAAGTCTGTCTCTACACTTAGACATCCCCTGTCAAACATGAAGTCTGTCTCTACACCGAAACATCCCCTGGTAAACAGGAAGTCTGTCTTTACACAAAGACATCCTCAAAAAAACCCAAAAAGTATATGGCCTACACAGTCACCAACCACATAGTTACCGGAACGCTTGCAATCTATATCCATAATTTAAACTCTTACAAGGCGTTCCTGTTATTTCACACAGTCTATGTGTCTCGACATGAGAACAAAGCTTACAAATGGATCTAACGCCAATTTTAATAATTCAACTTTATCAGGTATTCCAACTTTTTATATTTGCAATAATTACACAGTTTTTAAACTTATTTTATTGTAAACAAACAGTGAACACGTAATACAACAATTAGACAAAATATAGTTCGGTTTCTAGTGTACCATGAATACACAGAATATCATCGTATTTTCTTCACTAGCTACAGGGATAAGACAAGGTTAGAATGCCATTGGTTGACAGGTAAGTTATTTTTTAAAGTTTTAAATAACATTCCAAGTAATCATCAATATATGGAAACCAATATGTAACTGGAATTTGGACATATCACAGTAAGAATTGGAAGCAAACTGAAAACAAGTCGTGTATTTGGTAGAGGTTTAGGAAAACACAAAGTAACACAGAGAAATAAACATTCAGGAAGACAAACTTACAAAATTAAGTCTAAAAACCTGAGAAATGGGAATTTGAAACTGAACATTAGCAAATCACACAGGCTGTTTACTAAGCCATGGTATAAAAAGACACCCATGCACTCAGTTTATGCGGCATTTTCTGCCAATTATAATTTAAAACAAATAATAAAAAGGTGAAAGATCTCAGCCCCAAAGGTTATAGATTTATGAATTTGGATTGTCTGCAATCTCATGTTACCGAGATGACCATGCATGCTTGTCTATGTGTTGGTGCAATGGAAATTGCCAGTGAAGGTAAACCCCAAATTAAGCTGGAAACCGAAGTCCGTTCATTAGGTCTGGCCAGTGTTATGTTGGCACAGTGCCAAGGATGTCTTAAACAGTATAAATTAGAAACCAGCACAAAAGTCCCAGGATCCAAACGCTATGATGTTAATGTTCGTGCTGTTTGGGGCAGCACGGTAACTGGAAATGGTCCTTCTCACTTGAATGAGTTCTTGGCAACTATGAACTCCCCCGGTTTATCTCAGTCAACATTAAGTTCCATAGAAACTGATATTGGAATGTGGTGGCATTCGGTTTTAAGGAAGGACATGTTGCTAGCGGGTCAAGAGGAAAGAAATTTGGCAATTGAGCGCAATGACTTTCATCCAGAAGTCCATGCAATAACTGTAATAACAGATGGTGGTTGGTCCAATTGTGCAGCCAGAATACTGATAGGGAACATACTTGTTTAAAGAATTGACAGCCAGTCGATGGAAAGTGACATAATTTTACAAGGGTTCCTTGAATGTGAAAGCAAACACGGGGTAAGGTACATGAGTGTTGTTGGTGATGGTGATTCTTCCGTTTTTTCAAGAATCAGGGAAGAAGTTCCCTGTTGGAGAGGAGATGTTGCTAAACAAGAATGTGCCAACCATATTCGTAAATGTTATAGATCAAACCTAGAAAAGCTTGTCGTAGACAATCAAGTGTACAAAGGTAAACACCATTTGTCAAATTCTACAAGAGTTAGACTCGTAAGTGCAGTTAGATGTGCCATCCATGTAGTATCTAAAGACTACAATGAACAGAAATTAGATCGTCCCAATGCGATTAAAAGATTGAGTCGTGACATTAAAAAATCAGTTCATCGTGTGTTTGGCAAACATGACCATTGATCTGATTTCTGTCAAGCTAAACTACAACCACCACCATCATCAGCTGATGATAAGCTTCTTCTTCAAATGCAAGTGTTGATGAGGTTAGCTTTGTTGATGAGCAGGTCAGCTTCTGGAAAGAAGGTTCGTCAATATCAGCCCAGGAACAGGCCCGTTATGGAACATCAATTGACTACAGTAAGGTCGAACAGCACATCATTAAGGATGTAACATCACTCCTGGTTAGAATTGAAGAGAAAGCTGATCGTCTCGTCAACAACAGTACCACCAACTTAGTTGAAAGTTGGATGCACATCAGAACCAAGTGTGATGGGGGGAAAGTGCACAACCTGTGTTATCGAGGTTCATGGCACGCACGTTGCTACGGTGGGGCGCTTAGGATGAATCTATGTCCACAGTGGGCTTGCAAGGTGTGGGAGTCAACAACTGCTTCAGAGCCTGTGTGCTAATTCAGGAAAGTTTACGCTCGCCATGAAAAGACCCTAGCAAATTCAGTGCCTCACAAGTCCAAGCCCTATGTTCAAGAGCGCCGCTAGAAGAAGAAGATGTCAGCCATCAAATCAAGCACCACTAAGAAGGCCCGACAAGCTTATGGTGCAGAAGCTATAGATGTAAGCGTTGATGTATACACTAAAGAATTGGAAACATTAAAACAGCAATATTTGGACAAACATATCAACATTTCGGCCCAACAGTCCGACAAAATTACTAAATCAACAATTCAACAATCCCAGTCTGGTATTTGGCATTCAGAAGAAAAAAAAGAGTCACAGCTTCAAATTTTGAATCGATGGTTAAAAGAAACCCATCATTACCTATTCAGAAATTTGTGCGCAACCTGCTCTATAGTTCATTCCATGGAAATCGGTATACAAGAAATGGAATTCTTCAGGAAGATACCACAATAGTGGAATATAAAATGAAAAGGGCTGACAAAGGGGAAAACATACATGTTGAGCGCAGTGGATTAGTGAGGCATCCTATTCACAAATATTTGGCAGGAAGTCCAGATGGCGTAGTTTTTACTTCCACTTGAGAAACTGGACTCTTGCAGATCAAACATTTGCTTCATTCGAAACCATTGAATCTTTGGCAGGCTTCAAAAAACAAACATTTCTGTTTAGAAAACTCCGAGGGAAAACTCAAACTAAAAACAACTCATATTTATTATTATCAGTGTCATGGCCTTCTAAACATATGCAACAAAGAGTGGATTGATTTTGTGGTTCGCACCTTAAATCCTCACCAACTGTTTATACAATGGATAAATAAGAATGACAATGTTTGGCAGAACATTATGCTCCCACATCTGACGTCTTTTTACAACAACGTACTACTTCCAGAACTTGCTTGTCCAAGAGAAGGCAAAAGTCCAGGCATACGAGAACTTGGAATATGGGTATGTTATGACATGTATTTTTACATTCAGTGCAATATTGACAATGCATATACAACATGTGAATACAGTATGAATATAAAGTGATATAAGGTTAAGTTCAGTCACACAGGGAGTGTTGTACATGTTTATTAAGCAATTTGGTAAGTAAATATTCATATCAATTTTTTATGATGTGTATGTATGACTAGTAGCTGTATTTTGTTTTAATGTTTTGGCATATACATTGTTCACTGATGCATGTACATGAACTGTACATGTATAGTGTTTAATTTAAAGGGATTGAATTTTATGCTGTTGCTAGATCATCTGTTATTGTTCAAGTCAGCATATCCTTACCGTTGGCTGGTGGTTTCAAAATTTACTGTACAAATAAATCTTGCAAGTCATAAACAAGATATGACCTACACTAAGTTAAACTGACTATTGCCAGCAACTATTGTTTTGCCCTTTGAAGGCTCACCATGAGTACCGGTATAATTAAATATAATAATATATATATAATCATCATTCTGTATTACCAACAATACAGCTTTTGAAAATTGAACTATAAAAAAGGTAATTACATGAAGTAATTTAATACTTTGGACTGAACTGAAGTTTAATGTTCATTATTGCCAAACACACGTTCAGTGACAGTAATTATCTAAGGTTAATACATTGTGAATGACACTTCTTATACCCTATGTTAATTTGTATATTTACAGTATGTGGCATCAGAAAAACAAAATCAACTTCGTACAAAAGGAACTCGGAAAAGAAAGTCAACTGCAGGAAAAGGAAGACAGTACAAGAAGGGTCGTCTGTAGAGGTCTGACAGTGGTGACGCTGAACCACAGAGACTCGTACCAGTTCGTAACAGGAAGCTAAGCATAGATGTTAATAACCAACCATTTAGTCTAAACAGTTTGTGGTGTTTTGTTCCTCTGTAAAGCAATGGATGTGTTGTCAAAGTCAAATACACATTAAAAACACTTCATATGCTTAAATTATAACTAAATAAATCAGTATATGTTATTGTATCTTTCTATTTATATTTTAGGAGAACAAGACAGAGACCTATACAATTTGTAGGCAGGACCATTAAACATGAGTGGGTTATTGATGAAACTTCACAACTGAAAGAGTGGTATAGGGGGAATGTATTATCTGTATTGTCTGGAAATGATGGTGCTGTGAATTCAGTATATGAAGTGCTGTATGAAGGCGAAGCCGAACCGTATGAAGTAGATCATCAGTGCAGTTCTGTGACCTATAGTTAATCATTTGTTTGGATAATAGTAAAGGTATTTAAGATTATCTTTTTGCATTATTAGCTCATATAGTTGTATCTGATGAGATCTGATAAAAAAAAAAAGTTTTTTTTTTTTTTTTAAAGTAACATAATTTATTTATTAATGAAGACAATTCATATTCAATACATTGGTCAAGGCTGCGTTAAAACAAAGGGATACGTAATATAAACGTAAATGTATGTTTTGGTTATTATATTTATGTCAAATGCCATGGTGAAGTTTTGTGTGTTAAGTTTAATTTGGAGCAGTCTGATATAATATCCACATTTTTAAACAACACTATTTTTGAAACAAATTATATTTTGTACAATTACAGTATTTGGAATCCAAATACATCACGCAACAGAAATAGAAACACACGAGGAAATCAACAGCATTAATTTGAAACCAAGTCGGACAAGAAAGGACCCAAGATGAACAGACTCTTATATAGAAACAATTGCCTCCATGGCCAAATAGAAAATTAGCTATCTCCCTAGACAAGGATTGCGGATTTGAGTGCGCCGGAGGTTGTGTCGGCTGATCTTATTTGCTTTACTTTATGGAATTCCTATACCACTGGCAAAAACTGTAAAATGGAATTGCATATTTTTTTCCGGTATCATTACGCTTTGATAAATCAGTTATTAAAAAAAACAACATAACTTACGCTGTAAATGTATGGAATACATCAAGTGTTCTGATAGTCTCAGACGTTCAACCAAACTCTTGTGGTCTGGTTGACGCTAAACTGTGAACTACAAGTGTCAAGTGTCTGGTTGAACGAGACTAGTTTTCTGAGTGTAAAATTGCAACCGGTCACTGACCAGGTTTCGGACGTTGCTTGGCTGTCTGAGTGGTTTTACGTCCGCTTTTTCACTTCCAAGTATTTCAAATATGTACTCCAATCATTACACGATTGCTTAAGCCTACTGAGACAGCTGACTAAGGGTCGCGATACAAATATGCCCAGAATAAATTCATGAGAGATACCTGTATGAACGCAAAATTAGTGGAATTCTCTAATGGTTTTTTTCTGGAACGCCTGTATAAAAACAAAATGTCTTGTGATACATAAGATCCATAACATCTTCTTTTTCCTCTCATGCCGTTCATATTGGTTTTCTCCTATTCCTACTCAATATAATAAAATCATTAAAATTGTGTTGCTGTCATTTGAATCTGTTTTGTAGACTCGGACAATTGTGCTGTCCGTGTAATTTCTATGAAGGAAACAGTTATATAAATGTCATGACTTGTTTCTGGATGCCTTTCTTTTGTTACATTCAGCAGAGACATGTTTATTTGTTACAAAACGAAGTAAGTGTAACAGAAAATATAAACTCACCCTTTAAGGGATTACTTGGTGTGAAGCAGGGAGCTGTACTTTAGTCCTTGTGATCTATAATTCTTATATTTTCTTCATATATTATATTTAAAAATGAAGAATCCAACGGCATTCTGAGATGAACATGAAGCTTGCATAGAATACATATCAAAAAAGTTATTTGTCAAGTTTCGTGTATATATCCCAGAGGAATTCCTTTGATGTTGCAACAATCACCGATGAATGATAAAACAAAAACACAAAAAGATGATGAAATCAATGAAACGGCTCTAATTTTCTAGAGGTTGGCAGATGTATAATCATCAGATAATCAAACTTCATATATTCAAAGATTAATTTCACTGTAGTAGAGTTCCAACAATAGGGTCCCGTGACCGTTTTTCCCGGACCAAGGTTTGAAAGTTGATTTTAGTCAATTTGAGGGTGCTGATTTAAATGAGCTGACCTCATGTATCTCGGTCAGAAGGGAAAATTCAAGATGGCCACCAACCGGAGTCTGGTATATCAAAACAATATCATTGTTTTTATATGTCCGTTTTATATGATTCTAGAGTATTTGATGTTTGTAGGGTGAAGTTTTCATTTATCAGCGTAATAACTTGTTAAGTGTATGCGTTAGAACGAAAGTTTTTTTGTTATTTTTGAAGCCAAAAACCAAGATAACCGTTTCGTGTTTCTAATTTGTTATCACGTGATTTACACGAGACAACGACGTTTGATATAAACAAACAAACAAACAAACAAACAGACAGCAAACAGATAAACAAACGCCTGTAAGGCTCAAGTGCTTGTTGTTGTGAAATGTATACTGTTCGTAACACCCACGACAAGTACTGACATGTTATACACGTGGGGTCCTCGTACCGAGTAGGTACGTTTACATAAAGGCTTAACTAGGTACATATGTACGAAACACACTAATCATTCCCAATTTCACTCAATTTTGACAGAAAATTCCGTTTTATTGAGTCTTTAATATTATGCTACTTTTTAATCTGTCGATTTTTCAAGATATTAAAATACAATGATAGCGATTACCTGTGAATGTATGGGTGTGAGAATGTGTCTTTACGAGAATAAAGAATCAGGATTTCCGGTTTTAAGGATCTCTGTTCCATTGCAGACAAACACTTAATAGAGTAATCTCCCAATGAATATATTGTATATGTAACTGTAGCGCAAATGGGCCAGGCTACTTCTCTTGAACAGACAACTCAGTAGGTTGGAGCGACAGTATACATGTTACAATTTGGGGCCTAGTGTGAACCCCTATCTAGCCCCGCTATATTGTTTATATCAGGGGACGTTCCTTCAATGACCAGTAAACATTTCAGTAGTTATTATATATGTGCCCAAATACTAGATACGGAATATCGAGCGGGCTAGGTATCTCTCCTGAGCCTAATATCTAGCGGAATACGTTATGTTCCTGAGCCTAATATCTATGAATTTCTAAATGATTTGGGAAATGTAGTATATTAAACTTTCCCGTAAGTTTGTCGTTAAACTAATACTTTTTAATGACGCTTACACAGCTCTGTTGCTTCGTTAATTTGACGTTATTTTGACGTTAAAGCTTGACGCTGCACGTTGTTCGATTTTAATTTTTTCATCTTCTTATCGCTGATATTGTCATAACTATTAAAATTGAACATTATTGATACATGTTCTAGGATGAAATGATAGTTTTAAGATCACATACACTCAAATAATTAGTTCTGCAGAAAATATTGATGACTGTTTTCATTCACACAGGACGTCTGATAAAATAGAAGCTTTGATTCTAACTGGGTTCAAATTACCGTCAAAACAACCGGAATGCATTCACATTTTACGGACAATACATGGACCAATAATCAAGCCTTTATGTAATTCAATTTAACGTTAACAGTGAGTAACTGAAAAAAAACCGGACTACATACATAACCGTCCTCAATGGCGATAGATAAGCTTGTGTGTACGCGGAGTCTCTAAGGTTCATGAAAAATAATCACATTCGAGCCGCTTATGCTCCGGAGAAATAGATATTGTATTGTTGATACGGTGATGTATTTGGGGGAATGTTTGGACGCGGCTTCTATAATCAGGTTATTCCATCAGACAGTCGCTATAAACATGGAACAACTAGACACTTGTAGACAATTCCCATCAAGGGGTTTGTGAGTTTGTATCTCGTACCCAAGCATTCTATTAAGTGCAAAACATCTATGGTCGCATTCATGTGGGTTTAAGAATATCCCGGTTTTTATAGCTGTATAGTTTATCCAATAGGTTAATCATATTTCTGTACTTTACATTAAACGCCGAAATAAGATAAAGATATTTTAGTTCAAATGTGACGTAAATATATACCGTCATTCATAAACTAAGTCATTCCGGATTTAAATTTTAAGCATCTTGTTTGCTTCCTATTTATTTTAGTGACTTCCTGTAGTATGAGTAAATTATCGTGTGGATTCAGCTCGCGATGAGGAGGGGTTCAAGTTTAAAATGTCAGAATTTAGGTCTCAAATTTCAAAGGTTAAAATATAGAAGACCGTCTTGAAAACGAAATGTCCTTATCCCATCCCATCTCACCAAACACACTTAACGTGCTTCTTTTTTTTACCAGATCTGGTTTGCGTTTTTCATAATTCAAGTACCAATGCACCGGAAACCAAGCTTCGACCATAAAACCTGATACAGGATGCGCGTTCATCCACGTTTTCGCAAATCAAAAATAATAAAGAAGAAAAATCCGTAAATATGATAATACTTATGGCATTTGACTTAAATCATAACGTAAAACGACACAAACCTTAATCGAAAAGGGCAAACTGTACTTTTTAAACTAGTACGCAATGCAACAGAACATTATTTCACAGGTTTATTAAGAAGCTGGATTGTAACGATAAATCAAGAAGCAGTACACGATTGTAACGATAAACCAAGAAGCATCCGATCAATACAGGATCTTAACAATGAACAAGAAACATACGAACAGGCCATTTTGGTAGAGATACGCCGAGACGATCCGAACAGTGAAGGATTGTAACGACAAATCCAGACGATCCGAATAGTACAGGATTATATCGATAAACCAAGAAACACCCGACCAGTTTTGTGTACATGATTGTAACAATAAACCGGTCGATAAACGAAAACAATCCAAACAGAACATCCGATAAGTGCATATGACTGCAACAAAATTATTAATGTATTATATATACCGAAATCAATCCAAACAATATACGGTTGTACAATGTAAGGATAAATCGAGAAACATCCGAACAGTGATTGATAGTATAAAATGCATACCGAGACAATCCGAACTGAATATCTCCCGGTTAAACAAGTATAGATGATCGCAAGATACAGCTTAATGTCAATAAAAAATAGATTGTCATTGACCGTTATCCATTGTTCTGATCTAAGTTCATCCTAGCGGATATTTGCAAGATTAAAAATCAATATTAATCAAATTTGAACTTAAAGGATTCGGTATTAGTGTTTACAAGACTGGGAGAAGCCATAAACAAATGCATTGTGGAATTATATAACGATTGATTTTTAAAAGATTTTATTCAAAGACGCAATTCTCTTCTTCCTCACAGCTAAATGTCCGCGAAACATATTTTTTTTACGATATAATAAACATAACTTAAGCTTCACTGCTGTGTTAAATTAATACACAAACGAATATCAAAGAGGTATGCTTACTTAGCTTACCACGGGCCTGGTACCATACTTGCAGTAGTGCATAAGTGCGGAAATGCATATTTTTTTTTATCTAGGGGAATAACTCGTGGCTTGTTCAAATATCTGCCCGGTCCAATACATTTTACGACGGAGATGCACTTTTAAATGTGAAACATTGATTGCACGGGTTCAAATTGCAAAACTATTTTTTTTTATTGACGATAAATGTTCTTCCTATACATATGGGACTATATTGTTTTGAGTATAGGGGCTCAACACATGTGTGACAAATCCATGAATATTATATTGGATAAAATGACTATAATAAAACAGCTGATTTTAATGGTTCATTTAAATAGTATACAAGAAACAGAACCAATCCTTGATATAAGGTACGGATTACGTCATTCAAACCCTCGGGATGAGATATCAGCCAATTAAAGACCATCGGCGACCTTCGGGTCTTTTCTCAATATTAACTGTATTGCGAGAGTGCAAATACACTTCTTCATTTACCGACATTGCTGCCGGTGTATTGCATACGGAAAGCCCATGCCACACAAGGTGAGGTAAGTACAAGTACAAACACAAGTTGCAGACACGTCCTTGGCCGGTATATACTCTAAAATGTATAACAACTGGGTTTAATGTAAGATATAACCATCAAACCCCCCCTGTAATGGTATCGACGTGTGTTTGTAAGCAGTTATCTCTTGGGGTTGTTCTGACAACAGATGGTTCGTGCTGGGTGTAATCAGGGGAGGTAATACGGTCATTTGATTATGAGGTCAAGTGGTGCGTACGTACCACTAAGAGTGTCAGTCTGTTCACATCGGTGCATGTGTAAACATGTTATGACGTAACACTCATCCTTTTGCTGGTTATGCGGTTAGTATACATGTACGATGTAGATGGTGGCTTATCGCTCTCAAACATTCACGAAGGCACGCGTTCTACACGTGTACTACCTACCGAGCATGGGTTTTTCCGAACGACTACTTGAAAAAACGTTGTCGGCCACATGACAAAATTTGCTGTATACGGTCACGTGACTTAACAAAATCTGCTGTGTACGGATACGTGACTTTACAACATTTGTTTGCTGCTCCGTACTGTCACGTGAATTAATAAACATTGGTACCGTTTCGCACTACAACGTGATCGGGTGGCCCAGTGGATAGACCGACAAAGTAAGGGTGTCACCTGTCCGACTTCCTGTGGTTTCTCCGGGTAGTCCAGTTCTTCAATTAAACAAGTTGATATAAATTGTTTCATAATTGTTGTAAAACGAATACAAAAGTCTATAGTTTGTAGAATAGCACCATCATGTGACTTTACAACAGTGGGATCGGGAAACGAATACACCTGTTGTTATCCACTGCATGTATCGTTCAAGGAGACTAATGCGAGAACCCCCTGCAGAATTGGAGATTTGCTTTGGTGTCCTCTATTTGGGGACACAAAAATGACCAAAATAAATCTGCTGCACCCATTGCAATATTTGGGATCTTTATATTTCTTTCTACTTCTAACTACCTTTTGGCCATAATGTTGAGCGTTCGCCCAGGTGAGGAAGGCAATGAACTCTGTCTCCAGGCTGGGACATACCAAAGTCCTTAAAAATGATAGTTGTTATTCCCTGCTTAACGTTCAGCATTTAGGGGAATGGCAGCAACGGGTGTCAGTATAATGTGACCGGGCGGAATGCTGTGCTGGGTGTCTTCGGTACGGTATTTCAGTGAGATCGCACTATAAAGTCGGCATTAGATCCGAGTTATTACAAGGAGGCAAGCACACCAATATACCCTGTTTCCTGCATACACACACGCAAGCACGCATACACTAAAACACATGGAGACACGTCCTTTAATGACCTTAGATGTTAATAGGACAATAAACAAAATTAAACCAAACCAAACCAAACCAAGGCTGTCAAACATTATATTTCACCCTGAAGAAGAATTTGAATTTGAGAATACAGGTTCTGCACTGAACTGGTCAGTATTTTATTACAAATATGAATTGAAACAGCGACACGATTCGACACTTGCCCTTTGGGAATATTTCACTTCTTAAAGACTCAGTGTATGACAACTTCAGTGCTTCAATACATGCAGTGTCTCTATCCGGCATGTTCCATCCATACGAGAAAATTCAATGCGCCCTACCACTATATTGAAATTATGCACTAATGATATAAAAAAGTGTAAAATCCTATTTAGGTGATCAAGTGTGTATACCTTCTCTGCACTAATGTTACACTTTCAAAGAAAAAAAACAAAAAAAAACAAAAAACAAAAAATCAAATACATGTATGCTTATAATTATATTTCAGATAAGAAATACTTTAAACGAACCCCCACGAGGATGCTCCGACGCAATGAAGTATGAAGTCTGTTCTTAGTAAATAAAAGCAACAAGGAAGATATCTATGACGTCATGATATGATTCAGGTTTAATACTTTTTGCAAAATTAGATATAGTTGCAGAATGTTCAATTATTTGATATATCTATTAAAAATGTATTACCGCAATGCTATCTCTTCTCCCGTTTAAAATAAATCCCATTTTGATTATCAAGCATTTATGTAACGTTCATTTACCCGAGGTGTGAATAACAGGGATACAAATAATATACATGAAAACAAATCATGGCGATTCGATCGTAATTATTCAAACTATACATGTAAGAAAAGTATATACAATTACATAAATTTACAATTCAGCCACAGTAACATATTGATCGGAAAGAAACTTGCATAAACCGTTAGGTTGGTTAACACTGCAGATATTTACTGATCCTATATTTGTTTGTGCTCGGATAAACAGTTTAATGGCCAGATGAAAACTTGTTTCTATACTGCTTCATCTCTGGACAAACATCTGCGTCAAGAAGGGGACATAACTTGTCTTCTCTTTACCATCTGTCAGTTTCCACCGCAAAAGACATCGTAGAGGACTTCCATTTCAGATTATGCGGAAATTAGATGGGATTAACAGTATTCTTTATATGTTGCTTTCAAAAATATGAGCCAAAAACTATTCTCTCACAAACATAATCAAACGCTTTTTAAAAATCGATAAAGAGAAAGCTTTTCTACATGTATATATGTACAGCTTATACCGAGTTGTCGTAATGTTGTGCTCAACTGAAAGTTTGTTTATGAAACACCCCGTACACCTGATATTGGAGGGGTTGCTCCATAGTTCAAGGTTTTTAGGATCAGTTTTCATATTCACACATAGCTTGTATAACCCCATTTATCCAAGAATACGAGAGAGTGTTAATGCATAATATGATAACCGAAAGCTTTACGTAAAACTTTTTTTTTTTTTTTATTCATTTTCATTTTTTTTTTACATGACATGATACAACGCATATGGTACAAGATTGTTGGTTGAGCTTTTAAAGCTTAAGAGTTGTTGCTAATTAATTCACTATGAATAAATATTTATCAAGCATGTACCTATATACGGAGACAAAAAAAAATTCACAAACGGACACACCTACAAATTAATTTATAAATAAATTATTAATAAATAAATGGTATTCGTGACATTAGGTATACAGACAAAATTCAAATGCACACAAAAGACAAAGGACAAGTCATGTGGAACAAAGCTAGGTCAGAAAGATGTGAAATTTAATTTATTTTGATTTTTAAATTTGCAACCGGTGATGTATTTTTAATGTTACTTTTAGATATTAGAATTTTGTCAGCTTTTAATTCGAATTTGATGTGATTTTTTAGACCATTCAGATTGAGTTCTATTTCAAGGCATTTCGAATTATATATGTATTGTTTTACCGTGAGTAATATCAAGTTATCCAAGTTGAACTTTGTATATTTATTTATTTGTTTGCCAAAGATAAATTATTTTATACTAAATCGAAGATTTTTTGCAATAGTCACTTACACGCGACGCGTTATTCGGAAGTTTAGAGATTTTTTTAGAATATTTACCTCGGACTGCGTCCTCGGTTAATATATCTTTTCTAGGGTTGGTAAATCCAGGTATCTACCTCAGTCAAAGGCTATAATTGAATAATATGAAAAAGAACTGAAACCACATGATATATTGTTGATTCCAATTGCAAATTGCAAAACTTTCCACAAATGAAATTTATTACATTTAATCAAAAAGAAACAAGAGAATACCAGAGTGTTAACAAAAACGCAAATTAAACTCAAAATGGATGAAACTTATTCTACAACGAAATAAAAATCCGCACAGAGACACGTAATAGCGTAAGGAGAACAACGAGAGAAATCGTGATCAATGGGAGGTAACTCATTTTTGTTACTAAAACTGCGCTCGTGTGTAATAATGGGAGGTCACTCCTGCTGTTTTACTACCTTTTTGCTGCGATATTAGTATACAAGTTAGCAATTAATATATATATATATTCATTTAAACAATGCTATATATATTCTTATATCAACCAGAGGGGCGTGCATTGATTTATTTATGTGAAAAATGGTTGTGGGTATCTCATATAATGATTTTTTTACCAATAAGTAAAGCGATCCACGCCCCTTTTGATAGTTTTGTTTAATTGATAAACGGAAATATTACACCCTTTTAAATCTTAAGAGTTTTGATACAACTCAGCTTTGTAATTATTGCAGAATAGCATCAGAGGTATTATCATTGTCAAAGGCGAAACACTTTGAAAACATTAATTAATATCATACTGCAAAAGACATTTTACTGACAGATCACTCAGGTATGGTTTTCTAAATTACAACGCAAGGCAGTAGATATAAACAATTGAACCGTAAATAAAATACAATGTAACAAATGCGTCTAGGGCGGTATCGCCAACTCACTATGGGTGCAATTGTTAACAATCGACATAGCAATTTTCATCATTTTCCTCTCCCATTATTTAAGACACTGTTGGGTTGTCTATGAATGTTGCTATTGATGCCAGTAATGTTATGTATCATAGTCCTCGAAATTCTAACAGTTACACTTATACTCAAGTACTCAAGATCTCTGCAACCCTGGAATATGCTATGCCAAAATCAAAGGCACATAATTGATCGTTTAACTGTTTTCAGATACTGAGCGAGCGCTAGTCTGATACCTTTCCTTTGAAGAGTACAGAGGAGAGACACCAAACTTCGTTGCTGGGAAATTTTACCGTTACGGTGCCACGCGATTTTTTTTGTTGTTCATCAAAGCGTCAAACTGGTCTGCTTACACACGACCGGATTTTTAAAATCATCTAGAATTTCTGGCTATCCTACAGTTTTCCGTAGAATTGCACTATATTTTTGCTGGTGTTGGTAATTAATCCTTATTAATATTAAAAGTTACACGACGGGCACACGTATAGTCTGTAAATGTATACGTACATGTCAGACAGGAGTTCACAGAGTACACATTCTATACAATTTCGCATGCAAAACCTAATTTGTCTGTGTACAAGGGATGTCAGCGAAAGTAGCGTGATACAGAGCGACGCAGTTTTCATCACGGGTACCGATTGGTTCATTTGGCCCCCAATTGGTTGTTAGGTTAGCGCCGCTACTCCATAGAAACACATTTTCAGTTTCCTCATCTATGGCGCCTACATAGTAGACTCCGTCAGCTGAAAAAAGGATAGAAAAATAGCAAAATCAGAATTGGTTTCGTTGATTATTTTTTCAATTTTACTTATATATAACGTGCATTATTATGTGATGGATTAGGGGACATATTATTCAGATATAATTCACTAGGTTTTCACACACAATCATTCATACCATGGGCCTCTTCGTTTATATAAAAATGCGGAACAACCGGTTTGTTCCTTTTTAAATGTATCATTTTCGTTTATAAGTCCTAGCAGATCAGATATGCAAATGTGAATGCAGGCCTTGCAAGGCTTTGTCAAGGAGCGCATGCAAACATCATCATATAATTAAGTCCGACCTTATTTCGTCAACGAACAACTTTGGTCCAATCGGTTCAACCGTTTAGATCGCGATAAATGAAAACGGCCCACGAGTCTGCATGGTACACGGATAGACAATGTTGGATTTCATTGTACAAAAGATGATGAGAATTTACCCATTCACCTAAGTTTACTTATTCACATACCTTGGTAGTCAGACAGTCCTGTGACGTAATTCAGCTTCTCATCCGTATCTAGGACGGCCAGTCTCTACCACAGAACGACTCCGCCTCAGCCTGTGGTTTCTGTATGTTTTTGAACAGCCCGTTATGCCATTCCAGTGGTGCATTATACATGAAACCACCAAACTGGCCTGAAATAGAATTCGTTGATGTTAATGATTGTTTTCACTATTTATTGGGGCATGATTTGTAAATGTTATTTTCATATCTCGTCCCATTCTCCTTTCTTTGTAGCAACTGTTTCTCTCTCTATGGGTGTATGACGATGATGATGATGATGGCAATATTTTGTTTTTGACGATGACTATAACAATGACGTTAGATGATAGTGTGTGCTGGTAATACATGTATGCCGTTGTTGTTGTTGTTGCTGTTGTTGTTGTTGTTACTGTTGTTGTTGCTGCTGCTGTTGTTGCTGTTGTTGCTTTTGTTGTTGTTGTTGCCGCTACTGCTGCTGTTGTTGCTGTTGTTGTTGTTGTTGCTGTTGTTGTTGTTGCTGCTGCTGCTGTTGTTCTTGTTGTTGCTGTTGTTGTTGCTGCTGCTGTTGTTGTTGCTGTTGTTGTTGTTGTTGTGGTTGCTGTTGTTGTTGTTGCTGCTGCTGTTGTTGTTGTTGCTGTTGTTGTTGCTGCTGCTGCTGCTGTTGCTGCTGTTGTTGTTGTTGTTGTTGTTGTTGTTGATGATGATGATGATGTTGTTGATGATATGATGATGATGATGATATAACATTACAAAAAAAACCCCAAAAAACCTCTCTCTCTCTCTCTCTCCCTCTCTTTCTCTTTCCGTCCTTTCCTTCTAATTATTGTTTCTTTTTGGCTCAGATGTTTTTAAATGAACAAAAGTAAACTTATTTCTCTTTTTTTAGATAAATTTCAGTTCTTGATGTTCATGGATAAATTAAGTTAGTATTCGTAACGTTCACCTTCATATATCTACCTTCCCATAGTTGAAATAATTATAATGAATGGCACTCAAACAAAATATTGCACTGAGTGTAAACATAATTCAATCATTTTCAGTCTGGATCACATTCTAATATAGCTTTATCGTTTAACATATACTAATTGATATATTGATCGCTAACATTTCCAGACGTCGTCGCTTTTCCCTGACAAAACAGAGTATACTTATTCATTAATTCTTATTTACTTGTACACATTTCAAACCCTGAACAGAATCTGTCACCAAGTCACATGTACAGTGTAAAGCAAACAGCAATTATCAGTACGTCACATAACACATAAGGCAATCTTCAAACACGAGTCGACAGACAACAGTAGAACCATACGCATACATCAGAATAGAAGCAAACACAGTACAAATGCCCCCAAATAAATAAAACGAATGAGATGCAGAACAAAATAGTATTTTTGCTGTGTGTCATTGATTTTCATCATAGTGGATACAGACACCAGGTCAAAATGACGACCGTTCTTCTCGATCCTTATCATACCGAAACTCTGACTCGCAAGCTTGTCCACAAACACATGTTCGTTTTAGTCGACACTGTGTTTTGAAACGGTGTTGGTTGACGGACAGTGCATAAAAGATAGCACGGACAGCAACTGTCACAGGACAAGGACATTTTAAATGAGAGTTTGTTAACCTCAATCTTATCCCTAAATCTGATTGGTCCACCGTTTAGCAAAATCAACATGACGGTGCTGACTTTCAGTCAGATAAAAGGTTTGACCTTTAAACTTATATCAGCAAACAGTTAGATAAACAGTAAACACTACAACTGGTGTCACTGGTCAGTTATAAAGCATTGAATGTTTAACGAGTATAACAGACATATGATACTTAGCCAACATACGTCTCCAGAGGTTGTGTCGTAGTACTCGTCTTCCTATCAAGACAGTTACATTCTCCGGTTCCACTGTTATATGAAGCTGCCTTACATTAAGACGTGTTCGAGCAGCTCGTGAGACAGGTAACCATAGATAACTCCGTAGTGGTCAACAGTGATGGTCCGGACGACCGGTCAGTGCCATCCACGTCCTCTAGCCAATCGAACGATTAAGAAGACGTCCCTCTCACTGAAATTTGAAGTCATTAATAATGACACTTGTAAACATAATTAAGCAGTTTGATGTTAAATCATCACAAATAAAAATTTACATAGTCTGAGTTGTGCACTTTTGAACATAGTAGCAGACGTTTCGGAGAAAGTTAAAAAGCTATTTTTTGTCCTTTATAAGGCAATATAACCCGATGGCAGTTTATAGATGTATCAATTTTGACAACCGTTTCAGGTAACAAATTTACATAAGTGTCACGACACTTGTTTTTGTTTCCTTTTCTATTTTATTAAACATGTACATCGGTGTATTGTCAAACAAAATTTGAATAAAACAAAGTTTAAACCAGTTTTGACAACCAATTTATACTTAAATCCGTCAATATTTAATGTTAAATATTGAAGAAATGCAACAACAGCGGCTTGTATCATCCAGCAATATCCAACGTGATGAAATTGGCGTCGCGTTTTGAATTTGTCACAACCATTACGTACATGAATTATTTCATTTTGGGATCCACATAAAGCATTACATATTTTTTAATCCAACCCCACCGCTCAGAAAAAATGGTGAGTGTGATTTATGCAATTACGATATGCTTTTTGATTTCGTTTTATTACCAAAATTGCCAGTTAAATCTGTTGTCAACATTCGAAACCAAATGTTTTGTTATTCTCAATTTCTGCATGTCTTTAATGCTGAAAAAGTCCGAAAAATATCAAATATCAGACATTTTAGACAAGCTTCCTTGAATTTAAGAAATTTGTTTTTTTCTCAATATTCCACATTTTCGTTAATCAGTCAATATACTTACCATGTTGATATCTGGTGTTGATAAGGCAAACCAATGCTAGAATCTTCCTTACGATGTTCATTGCTCTAGTCTGATCTCAAGTGTTTAAGATACATATGCAAGACTACGCACATGTGTTTTTCTAGGTCCTGAATAGTTACACGATGCCGGTTACAAAGGGAGACAAGGTAAAGAAGTACAGTCTCACATAATTTATTGGTATGGTAACCACGGATAATAACTTTTGAAACGCTTTAAGACGACCTACGAAGTAGGTTGTTACGGTTCTTACTGTAGGGAAAACCCCGTTTTCTTTTGCTGAAAAAATAAGTCGGTCAATAAAAAAATAAATAAAAATACTATAAACGATCAGGTTGACAAGCCATTGTTGTCGTCCGCTTCTGTCAGTCGGAACTAGATTGTGGCGGCTCTTGCCAATTTTTCTAGAGAGGCCCCGAATAAGGAAAATATGATCGGGGAAACTTGAACGCGTGAGAGCGACATGATGTTTTATTGTCCCGTCATGTAACCCTTATCATCCAACTAGACACGCTGTTACAAAAGCTAGGTATGATGATACTAACTATTACAAGATCTGAAAACACGTATTCCTATGCACAGGCAACGTTAATCTGGTCAATTGTATGGGTAAAAACCCAGTTAGGATTTGATTTGGTAGTTTCAGTGAATCTCACTTGAGTAAAGCTTGTTATATCTATCCTTTTTATGTAGTACTTATTATTTCTACAATTGTGACATCACAAGGAAAAGTAAAATGACGTCATGAGTTGATGGCAATAGCGAAATTGACGATGTTATTTTTGTCTTAATGCAAAAATACAATTTACGATAGTTTGATTCAGTATATAATTAAAACATCTTAAACTCATCCTGACCATCATTCAATGAATTTCGTTATTGTGTAAATATGGTAGATTTTAGAAATCCGAAAAAAAACCCAATTTATTCAAATTATCTTAACGTTTAGAATCGGACGACATATATATATTTTTTTTTTTTTAAATTTAGTTCGACAGATCTGGGGGTCCAATTAGAGAATTGGTTACAATGAAAAAAAAGCAATATTGTAAAAAATAACAGATGAGGACATAAACCTGTTTTGTACTAAGAGAGATATTTGTGTATTACACAATTCATATCCATGAGAATTATTTAAAACACACCGTCTTTAAACGAGACTTGAAAGAAGACATATTACTTTAAAAGATGAGTCAAGTTCACAATAATTAAAAGTTTAAAGCTCCTATTTCCTCGGAGCTGAAATACAAATATTTTTACTAGGAGTGGACAGTAAAAGGGTCCATAGGCACATTTGAAAACCCCCATGGATATAAATATTGACGTGGCTTTTTAGAATTAATGATTAACCTTTCCATCCCTAGGTAAGTTTTGTAGACTCTACCATGCATTTATCTGGACAAGTCCATTATGGTCTACAGTGGTACAATTCATGAGTTTGCTTGATAGCTCTCATGCCACAGAATATGAAAATTGAATATGTTTTCGTTTCACGAAAAAGCTTATAGTTAAATAGTTATCAAATCTGGACTTTTGATTCTTTTCAATGTCATCTTGTTTTGTTTCACAATCTAACAGAAAATATCTACTACAATGTACTAGATAGCTTTACAAAAACAAAAAGTAATTATCATCAGCAAATTACAAGTAAAAAGGTTCAAAACTGCTGGAAAGTCATTTACAAAACTCAAGGTAGCTCGGGTCTTTCCTGTGGGTTTTTTCTGAGATAACAGAGAACAATGTCACCGGAAAGGCCATGGAAATGTAATTTACATAACATAAACTTAGGACTGACTTCGTCAAAAGCCTTTGCAAACATCGGTGTAAATAGTATGGACCTATTTTGTTATAATCAGTAAATCACATAAGATGTGTTACAGTAAGCACTTTGTTTAAAATTATATAAGTCTTTACATGTTTGCGGTTTTGTAAACGTCGAAAATTAACAGTCAATAAGTTTGGCTAAAGTCTTTGACAATATTGGAAATACTGACGATGGTCTATAGTTTGTAACACAGTTTTAGACTAGACTTAAAATGGAATCACATTTGTCCTTTTTGAAACAGCAGTGGTAAATATTATTGTACAAATGCCAGATGTATTGTCTTACCCACAACATGACCATGGGTTGCTTTATTTACCTGTACAGAGAAACAAGGAAGTACATGTATGTTAATAGAGGAACCATATTTTTCTTTACAAATAAATGAAGTGCTCCACGCTACACCAACGAGCCTTCTTTAAAGTATCATTTTGAATAGAAAGATCATTACTACAATTCAAATCTATGATTCTATGATTGTTGTCGGATTATCAAAAATTGATAATGTTAAAAAAACCTAAATCAAATTTAATAAAAAAGAAAAATACCAGAATGTCAACTGAGATATTATCATTGTCAGCGATTAAATCACATGGGAAAGAACATCAGATACACACAGATATGTATTTTCTATATTGCAATGCAAGGCAGTAGATATTAACGAATGAATCGTGAGATGATAACATTGTGTGTTAAGGGCGGTATCCCAACACACTGCTGGTGTAATTGTCAATAATCCACACTACTACTACTTTAATCGTCTCCCACTCCCACGATTCAAAACTTATGTTTTTGGTTGTCTTAATGCAAGTAAGATCAGCCAATACTATAAGCTCATCCTCGAAATTTCAGGAATTATACTATGACATGTTAGCTATTTGTTGCCTACAGATGAAAAGAACTGACCAAGAAATGAAAAGCTGATAACTGTCATTTAAAGATTAAAGGGAAGCGATAACCAAGTTCTAGTAAGGCACCAGGCATTGACTCCATCCATGCAGAAATGTTGAAAGCAGACCTGGACAATTCTTCCAAAGTAATTCATAACCTTTTTAGCAAGATCTGGAAAGAAGACAGTATTCCATCTGACTGGAGTAAAGGCCTTATAGTTAAACTACCCAAAAAAGGGGATTTACGAAATTGTGACAACTGGAGAGGCATAACACTCTTATCCATCCCAAGTAAAGTCTTTTGTAAGATCTTATTAAACAGAATAGAGGAAAGTCTAGACGCAAAACTAAGAGATGAGCAAGCTGGTTTGAGGAGAGGCAGAGGCTGCATAGATCAAATGTTCACGCTCCGAAACATCATCGAGCAATGCATTGAATGGAATACACCACTGTTCATAAATTTCATTGATTTTCGGAAAGCTTTAGAAAGCATACACAGAGACACACTTTTGAAAAAAGTCAAATCGTATGGTGTTCCAGAGAAAATATTGAACATGATAAAAGCCTTCTACAACAACTTTGAATGCAGCATCATCCATGGGAATTCCATCTCCAACTCCTTTGAAGTAAGATCAGGAGTAAGGTAAGGATGCATCTTGTCGCCCATACTGTTTTTATTGGCCATCGTCTGGATACAACGACTGACAACAGCAGGCAGAGGTTGGGGTATCCAGTGGACCATGTTTAATCAGCTGGAAGATCTGGACTTTGCTGATGATATTGCCGAATTATCAACTACATCTAACCACCTTCAAGGAAAAACCACCACACTAAACAACTATGCAAAACAGGTCGGCTTAAACATAAATGCTAAGAAGACAAAAGTTATGACCATCAACTCAAACAACCAAACACCCATTCTTATCAACAATACATCAATTGAGAATTCTGAGGATTTCATCTACCTTGGCAGTGTAATCAGCAAGGACAATGGAGCTGGAAAGGATATCAAAGCCAGACTTGCAAAAGCACGAGGAACTTTAGCACGACTTCAGCACATATGGAAGTCCAGCCAATACAGTCTTAAGACCAAACTAAAAATCTATAACAGCAATGTTAAATCTGTTCTTCTGTACGGGTTTGAATGCTGGAGAATAGAAGTTACTGATCTACAAAAAGTTGAAGCTTTTCACAACAGCTGTCTGAGAAGAATGCACAAGATATTTTGGCCAAAAAAGATCAAAAACGAAGAGCTTCTCAAAATAAGCAAAACAAAGAAAATAACAGCAGAGATCAAACAAAGACGATTTAGATGGCTAGGCCATGTATTGCGAATGCCACACGACCGCATTATAACGACAGCTTTTCATTGGACACCACCAGGAAAGAGAAAGCCAGGCAGACCACGCAACACTTGGCGAAGAACAGTAACATCAGAACTGCAAGAGATGGGTTACAGTTGGGGAAAAGCACAATCTATGGCAAAGGATAGACAGAAGTGGAGGCAGTTTGTTATGGCCTTATTTCCCACCGGGGACGTAGAGGATAGGTAGGTAGGTAGATAACCAAGTGCAAAGTCGGCTTATATTACCGTTACACTGCCACGCGATGATTTAATGCACATCAAAGGATCAAACTTCTCTATTTTTTATATCATCGACAAAAGTGCGCGTACACAGCCTTTGACGTCACGAGTGAGCGTAACCCCTTACATTTCGAAGTTGTAGTCATGTACATTCATGTTGATATATAATTGTCGTATACAGGAATAAATTTTCAATTCACTGGTGACATGTGACAAATTGTTTTAGCAAGGGATCTAATTTAATATACTTTAGAAATATTTGACCAATTTATTGTGTTTGAGTTATCTCCCTTTAATATTTTTGACTCGGGACGATATTATTTAAGTGGCTTGGACATGTCTTGCTATAATGAATGTCATCGTTTCAATTAATTAAGTCATGATGTCTCTTCAATTTGTTTCGCATATTCTGTTATTATCATTTGGCATTACCTTTGATTAGTCTTTCGTCATGGCATAATGATTGTTCAGGCTGATGTGTCATTTACTGTGTTCAAGTTGTGACACTTATCATTAGTAAGCATTGTCTTTATATAATATTTGCTGTTACAAAGTCTTAAGATGCACATACACAAACACCCCTTTAAGAAATAAATATCGGATCATCACAGTTTCCCGATAAATTTACTCCTTTTTTGCTTGTTTGAGGTTTAAGCCTTATAAACGTTAAAAGTATACTATAACGGTAACACAAAATACTCTGTAAAAGTTAATGTCAAACAAGAGTACTATTTCTACACAATTTCGCATGCAAAATTACAAAGGAATGCACACGAGATGTCAATGAAAGCAGAGTGATATATAGCAACACAGTTTTCGTCACGGTAACGGTTTGGTTCATTGGTATACCAATTGGTTGTAAGGTTAGCGCCGTTACTCCATACAAACATCCGTTCAGTTTCCTCATCCGTCGCGCCTACAAAGATGAATCTTCCAGCTAAAGAAAAAGGGGGGAAAAGAAATAGACAAAGTTAGATTCGTTGATTGGTTTTTGTTTGTTTTTGTTTTGTGTTCTCTGTTTGTTTGGGGTCGGGATGGATATGCAGTTATTTGAAATTTCATTTCTGATTGAAAACTGTCCGTACTCAGTTGTTGCTATTTCGATGCGTTGATACCAGTTTTGTTTTACAATGGCCAGATTATGATACATAATACGTGCCTCACTGAGTGATACATGTAAACATAAATATCCAAAGACAAATGGACAGATAATGTGGAAATAGTATACAGCTTTTGATTTCATTATGACATATGCCAGGTGTGCAACAATCGTATGGGAGTTTAACTCCTGGAATTCCGAGCATGCCATTTGAAAGTTGAAAGTTGAAATTGACATTGAACGGCATAAGTGTCATTTAAAGTACATTTCGGCCGTTATTCACATGTACATGTACCTTGGTAGTCAGACAGTCCTAAGACGTAATTCAGCTTCTCATCTGTATCTAGGACGGCCAATCTCCCCTCCAGAGTACCACAGAACGACTCCGCCTCAGCCTGTGTTTTCTTGATGTTTAGGAACAGGCCGATATGCCATTCCAGTTGTGCATTATACAAGAAACCATCAAAAAGGCCTGAAATTAAAAAAAAATAAGAAATTATTAAAATGTTTTCCACTATTGATGACTACACATATCTCTCTCTTTCTCGCACGCACAACGTTTCACTTACTCTGGTTGTTGATAGAGATCAATACGTTACGGTCTATGTCACTTGCTAATATAGTTTTATCGATCAATCGATGATCGATAATTATATTGATTGAAATTTTCCCAGACGTCTTTCATTTACAAAACAGGGTATTATTTTCATTATTCTTACTGCTCATTTTATTGTGTTGTGTTTTCCATTATTTTAAACCCCAAAAGGAATGTATTAAAGACGATGTCAGTACTTCAAAACGAGCAAACATACACCACATAGTCGATTCGATAGATTGCAAGTTGGCAAAAAAGACGTGTTCTTTAATAAAGATTGATGATGACTATTCCAACATTTTGCAAATATATCATTTCGCCCGAAATAGTGGTGCGGACTTTTTTTCCAATATAACGTTTTATTGAAAATAATAATCAGAAAATAGTTAGCTCAACAAAACACACTGCAACTGATATTACTCATACATTTTAAAGCTGTGTATGTAATACGGATATAAACAAAGATATGATACTGAGCTGTGTATACACTAAGCTGTGTATGTAATACGGATATAAACAAAGATATGATACTGAGACGTGTATACACTAAGCTGTGTATGTAAAACGGATATAAACAAAGATATGATACTGAGACGTGTATACACTAAGCTGTGTATGTAATACGGTATAAACAAATATATGATACTGAGCTGTGTATACACTAAGCTGTGTATGTAATACGGTTATAAACAAAGATATGATACTGATACGTGTATACACTATAAGCTGTGTAAGTAAAACGGATATAAACAAAGATATGATACTAAGCTGTGTATAAACTAAGCCGTGTATGTAAAACGGATATCAACAAAGATATGATACTGAGCTGTGTATACACTAAGCTGTGTATGTTATACGGTATAAACAAAGATATGATACTGAACCGTGTATACACTAAGCTGTGTATTTAATACGGATATAAACAAAGATATGATACAGAGCTGCGTATACACTAAGCTGTGTATGTAATAAGGATATAAACAAAGATATGATACTGAGCCGTGTATACACTAAGCTGTGTATGTAATTCGGATATAAGCAAAGATATGATACTGAGCTGGGTATACACTAAGCTGTGTATGTAATTCGGATATAAGCAAAGATATGATACTGAGCTGGGTATACACTAAGCTGTGTATGTAATTCGGATATAAGCAAAGATATGATACTGAGCTGGGTATACACTAAGCTGTGTATGTAATACGGATATAAACAAAGATATGATACTGAGACGTGTATACACTAAACTGTGTATGTAATACGGATATAAACAAATATATGATACTAAGCTGTGTATACACTAAGGTGTGTATGTAATACGGATATAAACAAAGATATGATACTGAGCTGCGTATACACTAAGCTGGGTATGTAATACGGTATAAACAAATATATGATACTGACCCGTGTATACACTAAGCTTTGTATGTAATACGGATATAAACAAAGCTATGATACTGAGCTGTGTATACACTAAGCTGTGTCTGTAATACGGATATAAACAAAGATATATTACTGAGACGTGTATACACTAAGCTGTGTATGTAATACGGATATGAACAAAGATATGATACTGAGCTGTGTATACACTAAGCTGTGTATGTAATACGGATATGAACAAAGATATAATACTGAGCTGTGAGTACATTAAGCTGTGTATGTAATACGGATATAAACAAAGCTATGATACTGAGCTGTGTATACACTAAGCTGTGTATGTAATACAGATATAAACAAAGATATGATACTGAGCTGTGTATACACTAAACTGTGTATGTAATACGGATATGAACAAAGATATAATACTGATCTGTGAGTACATTAAGCTGTGTATGTAATACGGATATAAACAAAGATATTATAGCAAACGTACGGTTCCAAAGGCGATTTCCAAGTTGTGACGTCATACCCGTCTTCCTTTCAAGACAGTTGCATACTCCGGTTCCATCGTTATATGTAGCTGCCTTACATTTGATAGTGTTCATGCAGCTCGTGAGACAGGCGATCAGGGATAGCTCGGTATTGGTCAACAGTGATGGTCCGTACAACTGGTCAGTGCCATCTACGTCCTCCAGCCAATCGGACGCTCTGGATGACGTCCCCCTCACTGAAATTTCAAGTGACTACATATGACACTTGTAAACATAATCAAGCAGTTAAATTTTTATTCATCCCATACAAATCTGTACAGTGTATCCGTTGTGGAATTCTAAACAAAGTAGCAGACGTTTCGTCCAAAGACGGAAAGATATTTTTTTGTCTGGTATCAAGCTTAATAAACAGTTTATAGATAAATTAATTTTGACAACCAATTTATATTGAAATCCTTACATATAAATATGTTATATATATTGGAGACAGGCAGCAACTGTGGCTGGAATCATCTAGCAATATCCAACGTTTTGGAAATGTTGTAATTTTTAAAATATTTTACAATCATCACATACATGAAAAAAATATTACATTACACATTTTCGACATTTAAATCAAACCTCACCTCTCAGGAAAACTGGTGAGTGTAATTTATAAAATTTCTATTTTAATGTTTTTAATTTCGTTTAATTACCGCGATTGCCTGTAAAAACCGTTTTCAACATTCGTAACTAAACATTTTGTTCACGAAAAAATGTTACTATCATTTACTGCATGCCAATTATACTCAATAATGAATCCGAGAAATATAAATTATATCAGAATTTAATACAATTTTCCTTCAACTTCACTTTTTTTTTTTCATTTTGAATATTCCACTATTTTATTAACACATTAATATACTTACCATGTTGATATCTGGTGTTGATAAGATAAACCAATGCTAGAATCTTCCTTACGATGTACATTGCTGTAGTCTGATCTCAAGTGTTTAAGATACATATGCAAGACCACGCACTTGTGTTTTTCTAACGAATCAGAAAGCACTCATTTATTGCGCGGACGAATATATTCACGAGTGCGCGGAGTTCACGAGTGAATATATTCGTCCGCGCAATAAATGAGTGCTTTCTGATTCGTTAGAAAAACACAAGTGTGTGGTCTTGCTTTCATCACATACCTTCCGTATTTGGTAGAGATCGATACAAAGATTTTATAAACTTTGATGATATTTTTGGCAAATACCGGGAACTTTTCAGCTCGCCATGACATGGGAATTCCCCTAAAAAGTAGTTCCGGCTAGTATGGTGATACCATACCGACAGAAAACATCAACAGAAAATTGTTCTATTACTATTGTAAGATTACATAGGTATGTGATAAACATGTATACCACACAAGGAAAGTCGATATGACAATCTGGGAATCTAGACCTGTGTCTGGTTGAATGGTTTCCAATTGGTTCCTCTGGTACATGTTTGTAAATAGCTAATGACTAATTAGCAATAAGTATTCATGGTTAAAAAATATCCGTGACATTAAGAAAGCTTGTTTAGTGTTTAAGACCCTGCAATAGTCACATGAGGACGCGGTTACCAAGGGAGACAATGTATGGAAGTTCAGTCTCACGTTCATAATTGATCAGTGTGTTTTCGTGAGGAATCCAGGATATGGCTTATATATTGCGTCGTTAGTCTAAGGATTCGTTAAGACTTTTTTTAAATTGAATTATGGTTTTCTAATGATTATGAGGGTAATTATTGTGACCCAATGGTTTGCTTACTTTTCTTAATGTTATTTGGCGTTAAGAGCATAACAACAAAAGAATACCAAAATGTGTACAAAACCACAATTTGAACTCAAAATCGATAAAACTACGGCAACAATATGAAGAAAATAAAATATGTACATGGAGAATATTAAAAAAAAAGATACAATGAGATTATGACCATGTGTTCCGGTAGTAAGCCGACTCCAAGTAATGTTACGTCCTCGCATCGAGAACTCGGGCATATACAACAAAACCAAAAGGCATAAATAAAATACACAATATGTAATAAAGTAATAGAAGAATCGAATAATACTTTCAAAAATAAACCATTTATTTCAAAAACCTAACTCCCAATAACATAATAAGCAACAGAAGAATCTATGGTGTTCTTGATGTCAACCTCAGAAATGTTTATACAATGGACGTGGTCAATTACTTCCGTTATTCACCAATTGTAGATATGTCTTAAAGTGTTATTGATAAGGTCTTTCTTTTTAAGTCCTGACAAGCTCATGTATATATTCAGCTTCGATAACATCGTGACATGACGATTTGACCACATGAGAGTTGTTATGTCACCTGAGGGCTAAGCCCGAGGGTGACATAACGACTCGAGGGTGGGCAAATCGTCATGTCACCCGATAATGTGGTAATCAATTGTTTTATTATTACGAATAAAGATAAGAATTATGATAAGGCACGACTACCCGGTATACTAGGAGATAAAGTAAAAAGAAAATGATATTAAATAACAAACATTTATAAAATTAGCTAATGTAAACATTTTACCATATTATAGGATTTATCATATCATGAAATAATGAACACATTATCTAAAGATCTTTCGCGGAAGGAGATAAAGTGTTGTTTTTTTGTGTGAAGAAATTGAGATTGATATAGTTCATGATGCTCACTGAAAAAACTCGCCTTTTCGTAAAATTTTAACATTTTTTCTTTGATTTATTGATCGATTTATATGTATTTCATCATTTCATTGCATTAATCATACCATGAAATAATCAACACAGCATTAGAAGATCTTCCGCGGAAGAAGAAAGTCTGTTGTTTGGTTTTGATTTGCCCAGGCTTGGCGAGGACGGCAATGAATGTTGTACACAGCATCCAATAAAATACCAAAGCAGATTATCGTTGCCATACATGATTGTATTCTATTCATTTATTGCCCTCACTGTGGGTAAACACAATTCTTTGTTCTCCTCGATTAATCATGTTTCACGAGGGCGAAGCATGACTAATCAAGAAGAAACATAAAATTGTGATCCCCTACTGAAGCGTTTTCTTTCACCGTAAAAAATTAATCAACCAATTACAAAAAACTAGCACAATAGTAAAGCTGATCAGGTTGACACGCCATTGTTGTCTTCCGCTTCCGTCATTCGGAACTAGGCTGTGGCGGCTCTTGCAGAATTTTCTAGAGAGGCTCCGAATAAGAAAAATATGATCGGGTAAATTTGAGCGCGTGATGGCGACATGATGTTTTATTATCCTTTCATGTAACCAGTATCATCCAATCAGACACGCTGTTACAAAGTTAGTAATACTAATACTTACGAAATCTAAAAACATATTCCTATGCACAGATAACGTTAATCTGTTCTAAGTCATGGGAAAATAAAACAGTAAGATTTTGTAGTTTCAGTGTATCTCTCTTGAGTAGAATTTGCTATATCCATCATGTCACAATTGTAGCACTTATTATTTTTACAATTGTGACATCACAAGGAACAATAAAATGACATCACGAGTTTCGGCAATGGCGAAATTGACGATTTTTTTTTTCTGTCTAAATTACCACAACATATGCAATGCACTTTGATTGAGAATATGATTAGAATATCTCAAATTAATCCACACACACTTTTAATGAATTTAGTTGATGTTGTTAATATGGAAGATTTTAGAAATCCGATCAAATTTTAAGTCACAGAAAAAAACCCTGATTTATTCCAATTATATGTTCATGCTTAATATCGGACTTTTTTTTTTTTTTTTTTTTTTTAATTTGATTCGACATATCTGGGGATCCAACTAGAGAATTGGGTACAATGATTAAAAAACATGTCATATAGTTAAATATCACAGATGATGACATACACATGTACTTGGAGAGATAACTGTGTATTACACAGTGCATATTCATGAGAATGATTTCAAACATACTGTCTGTAAACGAGACTTGAAAGAAGACAGATTACAATCTAAGATACAGCCAAGTTCCTAAGAATTAAAAGTGTTTTATCTTATTCCACGATGAATGTTCTGATGTTGATTTTACTGTTAGGATAAAACATGTGAAAGGGAAAAGGAACGAAAACATTTCCTGGAAGCTAAGATACACATATTTCTACAAGGAGTGGACAGTAAAAAATTGTCTATAAGCTCATTAAGAAAACCCCAGAAATATAAATATTGACGTTGCGTTTCTGGAAAAGAAGATTTATATGATTTCGGTTAGAAGAATACGAATGCAAATCAAAATTGTTTTGAAAATAATAATAGAAAAAAAATCTTATTTTGAATAATTTCAATATTCTTTGTTTTTGTCTGTACTTTCATACAATGAGTCTAGCACATATACCTCTGTAAAAAACTTGCACGAACGTTTTTTATTTCAAAGGATACACATACACCTTGATATAACTTATTTAATGTGATCATAAAAGTTCAGATGAACCCTTTTATCCCTATGTAATTTAGTAGGCTCTACCATGCATTTATCTGGACAAGTCCATTGTGGTCTACAGTGGTACAACTCATGAGTTTTCTTGAGAGCTTTCCTCCTATAAAACATGAAAATTGAATATGTTTACGTTTCATTGAAAATCTTTTAGTAAATTTGTTTTGTTTCACAATCGAACAGAGAATGTCTATTACAATGTACTACGTAATTTTATAAATTAATTAACAATCATCATCAGATATACAAGTACAAATTTTCAAAACTGCTTGGGGATGAGGGGGGCTCCTTTTCTTATATTTTAATAGATAAACCTCCTCTCCCCTATTTCGTTTGATCCACACCCCTGTGTTACCAACAAGCCTTCTTTGGATTGTATTATTATGAATCTTAAGAACATTACCACAACTCAGCTCTATGATTCTATAATGGTTGAATAATTATAAAGAAAAAATATATTGTGTTAAAACTAATCAAATGTAACCACAACGGGAATGTCGGTTAAAACACTTTGGAAATATCAATGATTAGCATGCTGCAAAAAGACATCTAGTGAATTATATTAGTAGATCACGCGGGTAGGTATTCTCTATACTACAATGCAAGGCAGTAGGTATAAACGAATGTACCGTGAATATAATAACATGACGTATTAATGGTGATACCTTCAGCACAATGTTGGTGTACATGTATTGATAATAATCGACACTGCGATTCCAATAGTCTCCCACTCCCATGATTACAAACACATATAGTTCGGGTTGTCTTCGGCCAATATTATAAGCTCATCATTAAATTTCTCAAGGAATGAAAATTATTTTTCAGCATTCATGAGGTCATAACAACATTGACTTTCTGGACATATTCCATGAAACGCGTTGGCGATTCTTGGTAGATATGTTCAGAAGCCAATATTGTTATGACCTTATGAATGTTGAAAAAATAAATACCATTCCTTATATTTACATTTTAAGCGCTTTGAATTTTCCGATGCAAACATAAATAAAAACAATACCGGCATTTTGTTTTCTACTCATGCAGTAGAGAGAACAGCGTGTTTTTGCGGAAAAAATGTAAAACTTTCACTGGGGGTCCTAGCAACAGCATGGCAACAAAACCAACATAATAAAGTTCCATTTTTCCAAATATAATTTGTAGAATTTACACAAGCCGTATATTATTATCATGTACCTGATGTACCTCATTTGAGCTTTAAAATGAAGCCTTTCATGTTTAATGTTAATCATATTAACATAACTAAGCTACTTTTCACCACGGACGTGTACGAATTACGCCCTGTGCTACGCAATTAAAGTCCATCAATACGCAGTGATGAGGTCGCCTGTGTTATGCAAAAATGAATGTCATTTTACCAATGGGTCCAAGTTTACAGAATGTAAATATAAGGGAATATATGATGACATATTAGCTACAATGTGTTTTATTGGTTACATATGAAAATATCTGACCAATAGCAAGACTGATAGCTGTCCTTTGAAGATAACAGAGGAGCGATACCAATGTCCAAAAAGTGGGCCACGGAATTATTTTGATCCACATCAAACGACCAAATTACTTGACTTATATCATCCACAAAAGTGCGCGTGCAGAGCCTTTGACGTCACGACAAGGGTGTAAAGCACGAAAGGGAGCGTAACCCCTTACATTTCGAAGTTGTAGTCACGAACATTCATGATATTGCTATATAATTGTCGTATGCAGGAATGTAATTTTCAATACACTGGTGACATTCGACTAAGTGTGTTTAGCAAGGGCTTTAGTTAACATGCTTTTAAAAAATATTTCACCCATTTGTTGTGTTGGAGGTATCTCCCTTTAATATCTTTGACTCAGGACGATATCATTTAGCAATACCTTTGATTAGTCTTTCGTCATGTCAGAATGTTTTTCAGGCTGATGTGTCATTTACTGTGTTCAAGTTGTGACACTTATCATTAGTAAGCATTGTCTTTATATAATATTTGCTGTTACAAAGTCTTTAGATGCACATACACAAACACCCCTTTAAGAAATAAATATCGGATCATCACAGTTTCCCGATAAATCTCGCTCCTTTATTGCTTGTTTGATGTTTAAGCCTTATAAACGTTAAAAGTATACTATAACGGTCACACAAAATACTCTGTAAAAGTTAATGTCAAACAAGAGTACCATTTCTACACAATTTCGCATGCAAAATCACAAATGGATGCACACGAGATGTCAATGAAAGCAGAGTGATATATAGCAACACAGTTTTCGTCACGGTAATGGTTTGGTTCATTGGTATACCAATTGGTTGTAAGGTTAGCGCCGTTACTCCATACAAACGACCGTTCAGTTTCCTCATCCGTCGAGCCTACAAAGATGAATCTTCCAGCTAAAGAAAAAGGGGGGAAAAGAAATAGACAAAGTTAGATTCGTTGATTGGTTTTTGTTTGTTTTTGTTTTGTGTTCTCTGTTTGTTTGGGGTCGGGATGGATATGCAGTTATTTGAAATTTCATTTCGGATTGAAAACTGTCCGTACTCAGTTGTTGCTATTTCGATGCGTTGATACCAGTTTTGTTTTACAATGGCCAGATTACGGTACATAATACGTGCCTCACTGATTGATACATGTAAACATAGATATCCAAAGACAAATGGACAGATAATGTGGAAATATTAATTCAAACTATGAGTCAGCAGAAAAGACGCATGCACATAATGTTATTTAAACTGTGCGGGGAGGTATAATATTGAAACAAATGTCTATCATAAAAATATGTATCTGTGGAAATAAACATAAGATCAAGACACGTATATGTTTTCTTCCTTTAAAATAATCACAATTTACTTGATGGTGTACCCAATGCTCTGCTGAAGGGCAAGTAAAATATTGTTAAGAAGAAGCAAATGAGAAACACAACACGATACTTAATGCAATACATATACACTATTTGGGCTACAAAGGGCATGTATTTTTAGACATCGGATTAGGTCTGCTATTCGATTTTGATTTAACTCGAGAAAATTTTGCCGATGCTTTGTTTTGGCATCTTCGAAGTTTAGGGGTTTACTCCCATTTATGTTCATTTCACCCATGGATAATGTCATGACGAAATTTGTAAGGCGCGCGGTAAGCCATTCGATGGTAAAATTACCTGACCAATCGCTAGGCAGATACCTGCATTTTGAAAAATTACGGAGAAGCGACACCCGACTTTCAATCCGGTCAGTTTTACAATTATGCTGCCTCAAGATTCTCATGATTTACATCAAAGGATCAAACTTGCAAACTTCTGCCATATGGGAGCTTAACTCCTGGAATTTCGATCAAACATTGAACGACAAAAAGCTTCTTTTGAAGTACATTTTGCCCGTGATTCACATACCTTGGTAGTCAGACAGTCCTGTGAAGTAATTCAGCTTCTCGTCTGTATCTAGGACGACCAATCTCCCCTCCAGAGTACCACAGAACGACTCCGCCTCAGCTTGTGTTTTCTGTATGTTTAGGAACAGGCCGATATGCCATTCCAGTTGTGCATTATACAAGAAACCATCAAAATGGCCTGAAATTACAAAAAATATATCAGAAATAATTAAATGTTTTCCAATACATATGACTGCACAGTCCATTGAGTTGTTAATTTAATAATCCTACTTAAAACTTTTATCTTATCCCATTCTCTTTTTGTAGTAACTCTTTCTCCCTCTTTCTCCCTCTAATGCTATCGTACATCGAAATATTAATTGAAACGTCGATCATCGATATATCAATTTATAAATCGATGATCGATTTATTCATTGAAAAAATTCTCAGACGTCGTTGCCTTTCCTTGACAAAACAGGGGATTATTCTTAATTATTCTTACTGCTAAATTAATTACGTGCTTTTTTACGTATGTTCTAACCCCGAAAGGAATGCATATTAAAAGCAAACAGTCCGAAAAAGAAAAAAGAGGAGAAAAACATCAGTACATCAAAGCTTACACCACGTATTCAACTCGAGAAACTGCAATAGAAACCCAAATATAAATTGAAACGAACGGAAACACAGTACAAATTCCAACAAAAGAATGATTCGAAACCAGATGCCGAAAAGAGTAAGTGTTTTCCCTGCGTTATATGTGTCAGTCTGTCTCTCACAAAATCCGGCAAAATATTTCATCGTGGCCTACTTGACCCATATCAAACTGAAATTCTGACTTGCAAGTTTGTCTGGAACACACGTTGTTTTTGGTCGCCAGTGTGTTTTGAAACGGTGTTGATTGACAGACCGTGCACGAAGGAGAACCTTGACAGCAACGGTCACAGGACAAAGAAAAATCAAATGAGAAAAATATTGAATTAATCGTATATTGAAATATGATTGTTCCAACGTTTTCGAAAATCAACATGGCGGTGAAGACGTTCAGTCAGATAATTAGTTTAACTTTCAAAATTAAATCAGTTAACAGTTTAACAATACACACTGTAACTGGTGTTGCTGAAACATTTTATAGCATTGTATGTAATACGGATAGCAAACGTACGGTTCCAAAGGCGATTTCCAAGTTGTGACGTCATACCCGTCTTCCTTTCTAGACAGTTGCATTCTCCAGTTCCATTGTTATATGTAGCTGCCTTACATTTAGCCGTGTTCGAGCAGCCGAGTAGACAGATGACCAGGTATAACTCGGTAGTGGTCAACAGTGATGGTCCGTACGACCGGTCAGCGCCATCCACGTCCTGTAGCCAATCGAACGATCTAGAAGACGTCCCTCTCACTGAAATTTGAAGTGACTTCTAAAAACACTTGTATACATAATTAAACAGTCTGCTTAAAAATCGTTTCAACTGAAGTGTACTACTTTTTGAAGCTTTAATCTTCATTATGTTTAGAGTAGGAGATGTACATTTCTACCATTCTGATAAGGGTAGTGGTAAACTTCCAGGGATGTTGCGTTTTTATGTTCTCTGCACCCCTGGAATATGTCATGACAAAATCGAAGGCTCGCTGTAACACATTTTTATAAGTTACAGGTACAAAATAAAATAATCAATCGCTAAGCTGATACCTGACAATGAAAGATTACAGAGGAATGACATCCGATTTCAAAGCCAGCGCATTATTATAGCGTTACGCAGCCTCGAGAGCATTTGATATCCGTCCAATTATTTCACACAAGTCAATTCGTTGCCTCAACAAGGTGGCGGATACGAAGCCTTCGATTTTGTCATGACATATATCAGGGGTGCATATTAAGTACACGTAAGTGAGTGTTTACACTACAATTTCGAGGATAGGGTATCAGGCGAATAAAGCTGGAAAGTTTATTATACGTTAAGTAAATGCTATTTTTTGTCTGTTATCAAGTATTATTTGTCTACAATTATAAACAGTATGTATTCTACCACGTTTGCGATGTAACGTCACTATTGAAAGATAGGCCATGCGCGTACACGTATTATGTCTTATTTTCCAATATACTAACGCTCTTCCAAAAACCTCCCCTGCAAATGTAGCGGCAAACAAGCGAGTCGCGGGACTGGTTCTATTTGTCAAATGAGCCAGGTACCCGCATTGTATTTTGTATGTATTTGAAGATTTGCTAGCGGACGAACAAAAAGATCTATTTTACTTCTAGATCGGTCTAGCTCATGATCGGAATGTTTCGCTAAACTTAAGTAGTGTTTGTAAATCCTTCAAATGCTGATTGCATGTGTTGACGAGCGATGTCGATAAAATAGGAGAATTTGATTGATTGAAATAAATATCTGGCATAAAACATGACGTCAGTTATTATTGTTTATCGTCTGTTAACCAAAAGGTGACTTTAAATTAAAGAAAATCCATCCCACAGGGTCAGAAATGATCAAAAAAAGTGCAGCTTGTTATAAGATGAAGACATATAGGGATCACTTGACAAATGGTAGCGAGCCCAAAAGAGAACAGCCTATTTAATTTATTAAGTTATCTAAGGCACCCTGCTAATCAAAGGTGTATTGATACTGAGATTGACACAAATAAGACTTTCGTTACATTTGACTTGTTAAAATAGATATATTCAACATATGTTTATATTGATTACTTCTTAATCAATTTTGACAACCAATTTATACATAGTCCAGCGACATCTAAAGGTACTATAATGACGTCACTGTCACATACGCACATACATAAGTGATATCGTTTCAAGTTTGGCATAACATATCAACCATTTTCGACATGAAAATCAAACCCCATCTCTCTGGAAAAACTGTGAGTGCGATCTATCAAAGTTAAGTATGCTTTTTATTTCATTTTATAGCTTCGCTAGCCTGCAAATTCCGTTCCGAACTACGAAACCACAGATGATTTTTTTTCACAAGAGAAATTTCAATATTAATTTCTGCATGTCCACATTGTTCTGAAAGAGTCCGATGCATAACAATTATCCGAAATATTAGACAATCTTCCTTGAATTACAATGAATGTAACGGTTCTCCTTAGTTCTCTCTTTTTATGAATAAAATGGTTTACTTACCATGTTGATATCTGATGTTGATTAGGTAAACCATAGGTAGAATCTTCCTTATGAAGTCCATTGCTTTTGTCTGATGCCAAATGTTGAGGATATACCATACAAGTAACGTTGAGACAACAATTACGGAATCTACAACTGTAATAGGTTTCCAATTGGTGAACTTTCTTTGTAAATTGATTATGACTTATTAGCAATAAAATGTCATGTTTCATGAATACCTGTGACATTAGGGACGTTTGTTAAGTGTTTAAGGTACAGTAAAAGTAAAATGAAACCATTACCACGGGAGACAATGTAATACAGTTCAGTCTCACATCTAATATTTATCAGTATGTTTTCGTGAGGAATCAAGGCCCCGTGATCATGAAACAATCTTAGACTTCAGTTTTTACTTAGCCAATCATGTATGACGTCACTTTTCATGACGTTATTTATGATTGGTTAAGACAAAAGAAGTTTAATTGAGTCCAACTTGAGAAGATATTAAAATATAAATTATTATATCGTGTAGCATTTTCGAATTCCCCAATTGTAACATCACAAGAAATGATTGAATGACGTCACAAATTTTGCGGCAATGACAAAATTGACGATTATTTTCTTTTCTTTTTCTTTTTTCCTGTCTAAAAAATCCCAAAATAAACGATGAAACATACTTTTATAGACGAACTAGTTAAGATGATCCAAGCTGTGTTACGTTAATCATTTAGCCCATTTATTCAGCACTTGGAGACCAGTATCATTTAGCCCATTTATTCAGCACTTGGAGACCAGTATCATTATAAATTTACAATCGATCATAAAAGACTGTATTTCCACAGCTGTGAAATTTTACTACCTATTGTGTGCCTTCATATAGCTTACGCTATCTTAGCTTCTGATAAGCAAGCCTAGTTATGCAAAACAAGCGGATTGTCGGCCCGATGTCTTATCTTCAGTTTTTGTAAATATTAGGAAATTGAAACAGAGCAAAATTAACCTACAGACAACATATGCTTTGATCGTTACATAATAGGTGATCTCACAATCATGGTTTTTCTACTTCCGGTAAATTCAGACAGTCAGCGTACTGAGTAAAATTGTTAATTGTAATCGTATCGGATCGGCAAACTCCGCCTGAGCACGGACTTTTATTCCGTAATCGACGGAATTGACCGAGACGTTACGACTGTAGTTTGATGATCATATTCGTAAGTGGGTCCCGAACTGAACAGCTGTGAGCATGTACTGTCTAATATTATTAATCCTAACCGTGGGTCAAGGTTTGTATTTAAAACAATGTTTAACCGAATTCATTTCTTATTTACTTGTTCTTATTTTACCTGACTGTGGTGGCCCTGGACCATTGTTGGTGTTCAATCAACTTGTGACTATTTATATCAAGTTATCTTTAATCGTGGTTAGGATGAGCTTTCAAAATCAATTGAAAGCTTACCAAATCAGGCTTGCATTGACAGAGGAAACAGAAGGTATTCCATTCTACTGGTAATTGACTAAATCGAGATTTAGGGAGTAAAATTTAACATATAGAGGGAGTAATGATGAACAATATCTTGCGATAATATCAATTTATTAAAGAACAATTGTAGGTATGTAATAAAAGCAACACCACACATGTGGTCATCTGATGTCCAAGATAGCGCTCCTTTATTGCGCGAATACACATGTATTTCACTTAGGGTGTAAATACATCCATAGGAGCAATACACTACTGCAAACAAAGACGTCCATCTATTTAATTCAAAATCATTACCAGAATAGATTATCTTTCACCTAAATACGAAATCACTGCAGGTCCATACCAGTGTGATAAAACTTAAGAAATGTACCAAACTAGATACGAAGAGCAAACCCGCTAAACTCGAATACGATGTTTGAAATTTTTCCAAACATGATAATTAAGGCTCGACAGAATTTTACCGTCGAGCTAGCAGGAACATATTTCAGTAATTTGACGTCGATAAATAACAATTTTTTTGAGAAAATTATCTTGTTCAATTATGACCTTTATCTGTGAAATATACACGTGAATTGAGTTGCCTTGATTCACCTGAACGTGTTTGTTTTTCATTTGTATTCAGCACTAGCCAGGTGTCCGAATGGCTGGACTGCTCATGGTGATTCATGTTATCATGTCAGTAGGGACGAAGCGTCGTGGGTAGAGGCGACGGTAAGACAATTATAAAATTACTACTAATGCAGACTCTTTTGCTTGGAAGGATTAGGGAGGGGTGGAATGATTTTGGTTTTTAATTATGACTGCTACATTCATAACCAATAGGTGGCGCTGGGGGTAATACCAACAATTACAATTGCAAGCGAAATGTTTACACATCCGAGAATCATCGAGATCTAAATACTGGATAACTCCAGAGGGTACCATATTTAATCACACCGGAACACATCTACGTTTGCTGCAAAAGTGTCTGTGAAAAATTGTAACATCAGAAAATGTTTGAAAAGGAAAATGTGTCCTGTACATTATTGGCAGATGGATGCGTGGTGTCTGAGTAGTGGGATCACTTGGTTTATGATGGCAAACAGTGGTACAATTTGATAAGTAGTATGCAGGTGAATAGATCAACTGCTAGATTAGAGGTGAATGGATAATAGGGAACCTAGATTAGTGTTGGCTTGGTAGTGGGACAATGTTATTCATGTTGGATGGGTAGTGGAGAAACTAGTTTAGACATGACTATTATGGGAACAACTGGAAAAGTATTTGCTTGATAGTGGGACCACTCAATAAGTGTTGGCTGACAGGGGCACCAGATGATTGATTATCGCTGATAGTGAGACTACTGAGTTAGTGTCGGGTTGTAGTGGAACCACTGCATTAGTGGTAGCTGAATAATGGGCCACTGGATTAAAATAAGCGTGTAAACGAGACAATGTGTAGGATTGTTTGATACTTGATACTTGTTCTTTTCAACTTTAGTACATAGGATGAGTCTTCAACGTACGAACTAGTCCTATGGTTTATTAGGATAAAAAACACCTTAAGTTGACTTTTTGCGTCGACATTTTATACCTACATGTAATTTTGTTTTACAATTGATGCATCAGTCTTCGACTGTATTGACATTTTTGTTCATTTATGTAACAATATACTTCATGGTCAACAGCGGATGTGTGAACTTCACAGTGCCTATTTGACAAAAGTACAAACGAGCTATGAAGAGACATTTCTTTCGTCCATAGTCCGTTCGCTTCATCGTAAGTATCTGTGAATGGGCCCCAAAATCTGAATACAATACTGTCGTAATTTAATTCGTCCTTTCATCACTGGGAAAAAGCTGAATAAGAATTCGTTAATGCCGAGTGTTCTCGTGTATATCAATATATGGTTTTAGAACATCTTTATAGAGAAACTTTATCATTCGCCTATAATGAAAGAAAAATATGGCGAATTATTCTAACACAATTTGCTACCGTTAGGTCCTCTAAGCTTTGCAGTTTTACCTTTGTTTCTGTTCCCCCAGATGGGCACACGTTCTGGCTCGGCGGGTCAGATTGGACAACTGAAGGGGAATGGGTCTGGGAGCCCGAGGGAACCCCCTTCTTGTATAAAGACTGGGCAAACAAACAGCCGGACAACCACGCCAATCAGGACCACTGTCTCGCCCTGGAGGGGTCGGTACACTTCCAGTGGACAGACGAGAACTGTCAGGACACGAACAGATATATCTGTGAAAGAAGGTAAGTCATCTGAAGTGTCAGGAACTTGAAATCATATGAAAAAGAAATATGAAACATCACACCTAGAAAAGTAATGTGAAACGTCACACATAGAAAGAAAATATAAGCACCACACCTTAAAACGAAATGTTAAACACAACACTCCACACCTAGAACAGAAACAGGAAACGTCACACCTAGAAAAGGAACGGAAAACGTCACACATAGAAAAAGAACGGGAATCGTCACACCTAGAAAATTAATCGAGAAGCATCACAATGAGAAATGAAACGTAATTAAGCATTGAACTGTTTTTGTATGGTATTTATGATCTATTTGAATGACACAGCTTTGCAAGCAAACAACATAATGTCATCATAAATACCATAAATAGATCATAAATACCATACAAAAACAGTTCAATACTTATATTTACCTTTTTTCTCTGCCTGTTATGTTCTTTTTTAACTTACAATTTATATTTAGAATTTAAAATTCCCGCCTTATCGACAGTCCACACAAATTCGTTCAATAGTTGGAACAGCGTGGTGTTGCGTGCTGATTGGCAAACAAAGTAGTACTTTGAAATTTTAACAAACACTTCAATTTTGTTGTGACTCATATCAGTAGGTCTGTAACATATGTGTCAGTAGGTCTATAGAATATGTGTATTGCAGACATTTGTAACGAATCCATGTTGATCAGTGCAGTGTAACAGACGATATTTCTGATAAATTGCATGAGTGTTAAAATTGTTTCCATTGCCGGAAATTGGTAATTTCAACCGATGTGCATTTTGTACGATATTGCAGACCTTACTCTTGTTTTTGTTGTAATAAATTATTTTTTTTTTATATTTTCTTTTTTCTTTTGCACATAAATTTACAATAACAATGGCAAGTCTCACAATGCCCAGCAATATTTCCGCAGCCGTCATGTTTATNAATATTTTTTTTTATATTTTCTTTTTTCTTTTGCACATAAATTTACAATTACAATGTCAAGTCTCACAATGCCCAGCAATATTTCCGCAGCCGTCATGTTTATTTACATTGGATATTGTAGTTCCGGTCAGTGTTGTATTAATACGCTTAGAATTGTGTCCCGTGCTGCATGGTAATAAAAGTCCCTTCAACGACACTGCTTTCAAAGAGGCTATATAGTGACAATGCCATGCACATGTAAATATATCATTATGAATTAGTCTACAACGTGCAATATCTTGAATATCTTGTAATTTGTGCTATCAAGCGTGTGCTAGAAATATATTGTAAATCATGTGATGTATGATAAAAAACAATTTTAAAAACATGTTTCCTATTTTATATGTAACAAATTCGCGGTGTTTATAACTTTCATGCAACTCACTGAATAGACAACAACCGAACAAAAACAGAAGGGCAATGGATGTGTTAAAATAGATATATTGCACATATTACAGGCGGCACATGTTATGAAAACAACATCGCTAAAGTACAACCGGTTTCGTGACATTTGTCATCGAAACCATTCATATCAAATGTCCCCAGCTGTCTTTATGGCCGACGAATTATTCAATGCGTTTCTTCACCTTATGCTTACACCATCGCATTTGGTTTTATTTTGTTGTCTTCTCGGCAAAATTCATTGTCTGACCGATTCTGTTTCATCTAACGTTGGTGATTGAGTGGCACAGTAGATAGCGTCCTCACAATTCATCAAGACGGCTGGTGTTTTATTCCCCGATAGGACGTGAAAAGGTATGGGGTCACCTGCCTGACCACATCTGTTTTTTCCGGGTACTCCGGTTTCCTCCCACATTAATACCCTATGGGTACTATCATTCGGGCCAACAAGAGCGATGAATGTAAGTTGCTGGAACTTTTAGTTTTAGTTTAATGTAATGTCCTCTTGTGTCTGTTTACCATTGACTGTTATACTACATGGTGTGTTTATCATTCCAGTGCTTACAGTGACATCGTAACAACCATTGCACCCATTATTGAGACCGCAGGTGTTTAGAACAGGAAGGACAGGGTAGGACAAGAATGTATGTACGAGCAAATCAACCGTCACGCAAATGAATTATACTTTGAAAAAATAAAGTTTTCTTGTTCATTAATTTGGTTTTGTTTTTAGTATTGTGATGATAAACCTCATAGTACGAATCTATCGAGTATTCTCGTCATGCCCCTGGGCAAGTAAACACATATCTAACGAGGAGTGTGGACAAGTTTTATGGTTGCCATCAGTGTTTCACAGGGAAATATGCTATAATTTGTGTAATATGAAGGTAGATGTTTTTTTATTATGCCCACCAATAGTAATAATAATAATAATAATGCGAGGTCCTTATATACCGCTTTATCACAACCTAGTTCGTCTCAACCAGCAAAAATCTTTCTCAACTCACTGGGGAGCATATAGCCGGTGCGCAATTTTGGCGCTCACAGCTAGCATTCAATAGTTCTATCACTGCCCAACCAAGTACTCATTTACAGCTGAGTAGACCGGAACAAGCCGAGTAAAGTATCTTGCTCAAAGATACAACACAGTGCCGTGACTAGAACCCACAACCCTTCAGTCACGCGCCCGGCGTCATACCACTGGACCACCCTGCCTCCTAAAGTGCCTAGTGGTTTTGTTGTGACTGCCTGAGTTCTCAATGAGGAGGAGTGGCGTTGCTTTGATTCCAGTTGGATTAGCATGGCGGGTTTCGTTGGTTTGGCGGTCTGCTTTTGGTCTCCTCGTGTTGTTTTTTCAGTGTTCTCCATGAGATTACAGATACTTTTGTTCACCAAAGAACTCTTCACAGACGATTTGTTGGATTAGGTTTTCCGTCCTTAGTGCAATACTCGCGAACTTTTCAATTTATTAGCCAAAATCAAATAAACAAGCTTTTCTTATTCAGTTATTTTCACATAAGCCCACACCGTCTAACTTTCTATTTACTTCATTTCCTAGTAGTGTGTGGGTCTCGACCCCTTCCGCCATGTACATTTTTATCTATTCACTTAAGGACACAGTCTCACGATTTCAAGTTGAGCTTTCCACTTTAAATAACATTCGGGTACCAGCCTCGTGTAAGCTTCAACATCATCATATTGTATCAGTTATACTTATATATATATATATATATCAAAACATGAAATACACTAACTAATATTATTTACGTATACAACGATATGCTAAAAAAGAACCTCACACAATATAGACATATTTAAAGATTTCAACGAAACGTGTTCTAACTTACTCTGATCAAACATACCATAATCTGATATGCTACTATAAATAACCCGTGTCATAAATGACTGTTTTTATGTCTTTTCCTTTCATCAAACTGCACATATTCAAAACACAAAGCCTGAATTTACTCCAGGTTTTTATCACAAACGACAATTGAATGGGTGCAAACAATGGAGATGAAATATGTAGTTTAAAGAGCACTGGTCATAACTATACCGTTTCAAATCTACTATAGTTCATATAAAAATTATTTGTGGAATTCAGTTTGATGTGACCATCAATGGCAGATATTGTCCACCCCAATGACAGATATTGTCCTCACCAATGACAGGTATTGTCCACACCAATGACAAGTATTGTCCACACCCCAATTACAGGTAGTGTCCTCACCAATGACATGTATTGTCCTCACTAATGACAGGTATTGTCCACACCAATGAAAGATATTGTACAAACCAATGACAGGTATTGTCCGCACCAATGACAGGTATTGTCTACACCACTGACAGGTACTGACTGCACCAATGACAGGTATTGTCCACACCAATATCAGATATTGCCCAAACCAATGACAGGTATTGTCCTCGCACATGACAGGTATTGTCCACACCAATGACAGTTATTGTCTACACCAATGACAGGTATTGTCCGCACTAATGCCAGGGATTGTCCAAACCAATGACAGGAATTGTCCACACCAATGGTAGGTTTTGTCCACACCAATGACAGGAATTGGGCACACCCCAATTACAGGTATTGTCCTCACCAATGACAGGTAGTGTCCTCACCAATGACAGGAATCGTCCTCACCAATGACAGATATTGTCCTCACCAATGACAGATATTGTCCACACCTATGACAGGTATTGTCCTCACCAATGACATGTATTGTCCTCACTAATGACAGGTATTGTCCACACCAATGACAAGTATTGTCCTCACACCAATGACAGATATTGTCCTCACCAATGACAGGTATTGTCCACACCAATGACAGGTATTGTCCTCACCAATGACAGGCATTGTCCACACCAATGACAGGTATTGTCAACACCACTGACAGGTACTGTCCGCACCAATGACAGGTTTTGTCCACACCAATGACAGGTATTGTCCACACCCCAATTACAGGTATTGTCCTCACCAATGACATGTATTGTCCTCACCAATGACAGGTATTATCCTCACCAATGACAGGTATTGTCCTCACCAATGACAGGTATTGTCCACACCCCAATGACAGGTATTGTCCAGAACATGGCAGATATTGTCCACACCAATGACAAGTATTGTCCACACCCCAATTACAGGTATTGTCCTCACCAATGACAGGTATTGTCCACACCCCAATTACAGGTATTGTCCTCACCAATGACAGGTATTGTCCACACCCCAATGACAGATATTGTCCAGAACATGGCAGGTATTGTCCACACCAATGACAGAAATTGTCGATACCAATGACATATATTGCCCAAACTAATGACAGATATTGTCCCCACCAATGACTGGTATTGTCTACACCAATGACTGGTATTGTCAACACCAATACCAGATATTGTCCACACCAATGACAGGTATTGTCCTCACCAATGACAGGTAGTGTCCTCACCAATGACAGGAATCGTCCTCACCAATGACAGATATTGTCCTCACCAATGACAGGTATTGTCCTCACCAATGACAGGTATTGTCTACACCAATGACAGGTAAAACCCTCACCAATGACAGGTATTGTCCTCACCAATGACTGGTATTGTCAACACCAATACCAGATATTGTCCACACCAATGACAGGTATTGTCCTCACCAATGACAGGTATTGTCCTCACCAATGACAGATATTGTCCTCGCCAATGACAGGTATTGTCCTCACTAATGACAGGTATTGTCCGCACCAATGACAGGTATTGTCCTCACCAATGACAGGTATTTTCACACCAATGACAGGTATTGTCCACACCAATGACAGATATTGTCCTCACCAATGACAGGTATTGTCCTCACCAATGACAGATATTGTCCTCACCAATGACAGGTATTGCCCAAACCAATGACAGGTATTGTCCACACCAATGACAGGTATTGTGTACACCACTGACAGGTATTGTCCGCACCAATGACAGGTATTGTCCTCACCAATGACAGATATTGTCCACACGAACGATTTAAAAAAGTCAGAAGGAAGATATTACTGATACGACAGCAAAGAAGAAAGGTGATTAGACACACTTTGTTCTACAAGATCAAACTCCAATGGTAGCCATCAGCAAAGAATAGAAACACATTTAAGGACCAAAAGGAGAAAACACAACACGGCAAGTAACGCCAGGCTAGATTATAGGGAAATTACCATTTTTTATGCAAACTATGAGGGACTGAATAGGGTAACCACCGGTCATTGCTGAAAATATGTTCACCAATTACTACAAATTCAGAGTTGCATGTCAACCAAATAACACAATTTTAAACTCATTTATTTGTTGATGATATTTTCCTGTCATAACCATAATTTTATTCCAACTAGTGAGTAGCAATCTTTGTTAAATTTAAGTTGCTGTGATGCCGGAAGTAGAAGAAAGTCACTTTATTGGCCAAGCGATTTCATTCCAGAGCTGCAAAACAACTAACATGTTTTAATGCAATGTTAAAGCGTTTGTTTTATATACACGGACTGAGAAAAAGTATATTTTTACGAGTTGGATAGATAATAATTATAGGTGTTTTCATAGTAAACGGCATTCAGATGGCAGCGTTTATCAGAAATTAGTTACCTTTATTATGGCAACTTAACCTACAGTTCAAGCAATCAGTGACACACGTACATACAGTCACTTTGTAATAAATTTGCCAATTAAACATACAACATGAACATATATTGCGTCTGGATGAATACGGTTTCAAGTCGCAGGGTGAACAGCTTTCATACTCCTCACTAGTGTTCCAATATATTACAATATTCACTCAAAACAATAAACAGGTTATCATATAACAATGTCCATATCCTACATGTACTCGGCATCAGCACGAGACTTTCATATCCGGCCCATCGGGCTGATATGGGTCGAGGGTTGATACGGAAAAAGAATTTTGAAATAGTCATATGGAAACCGTTTGATCTTATACTGCAATATAACATCAAAAGTATTAACAATAACTCAAAAAACGCACACACAAAACACACGAAGCAAAATAAAATATAATGACCAGCGTAGCAAATACAGATAGATATGCAGTGTGTACAATTTCAGTTTGATTTGTGATTTATTTTCTGAAAAGTGTTGAACCGGAAGTTTAAAAGATATGGCGCATAGTTTGCGCATATGGCGCGTGACGGGCTACATGTAATAGTATCACATACAGTATACAAAAACAACTATATCACGGTCAAGTATCCGAACATGAGTGTAACTGTGTGGCATTTCGCAATAGACAGGCAATAATGAAACTTATTATTTACATAACTCAACCGTGGCAGGTCATACAAGTCACGGTTCAGTTGTTTTGGGTTTCCTTAGATTAATCGTACATTAAGTCGATTTTAAAATTAAATTTTCTTTGAAAAATATCTTAAGTGAACGAATATTTTATATATTATCTGAGATACTAAACCATACCACTTGTTGTTTAAATTGTTGTGCAAATATAACTCGAACACTTACCTTGATTTCCTCTTAAGCTGATGAAATTTTACAAATATGAATCCAAAGCATTACGTTTAAGCCAGCTCACATTACATTCTTGGCCAAGCAGTCCATCGGACACTCTTACCATAGTGTTAGTTTGTTTGTCGTCTTTTTTTTATGCCTTTCATTTCATTTTGATGTCATTGTGTCAATTCATACTTGTCAGTGCGACGCTTGACAGACAACTTCTATAACAGGATAGATTCCATCAAAATCAATCGTTCGTATAGCTATTTTTTCGGAGTGCTATCCCATCAATATTGTTTCATTAGTTTCATTTATTCATAAAGAGTACAGAACAGTGGCCCTTGTTCTATATTACATTGTGTATCTAAAATCATACTGGTAAGTGTATGTCATTACGACAGTTCTTTCATAGTTCAACACAAATGTGTCCCTTTATTTAACTATTTGCTCAGAAGCTAAAGACCACTTAGTTTTCAACAGTAACAAAAATAGATAGCCGATTTAACATAGATAAATGGGTTTATCGACAGCCTACCGGTAAGTTTTAATAGAGCCACAATGAAACATATGCAGTAGACATTAATGTAGTTAATAGGTCCATTTTCTAATTTTATGGGTTGTTATTGTTTTAACTATCCAGATCCGTCTCACTGATATTTTACCCTTGATGGTAGGCCGCCGTCGATTACTCGGATTAAACGTCCAACTTATTATACTTACTGTAATTATCCCCAAATTATCTAGGAGAGCTAGCTGGTAACCATGCTTTGTCACGTACTATCAACGTCCAGTTGCTGTAGTTATGATGCTGTGGCTGGTGCTGATTGGGACCCTGTCCCTCGTGGTGGGTATGTACAAAACGTTTCTATTTGTTTAGGACATGTGACAAAAAAGATGTTTTCTTTAAACAGGAAATCATCCTTCCATCATAGTCGATAATTGTGAACTCAGTGTTTCTACTTACGCGTATATTACACTTTAGGAGAATTGATCGCAAATTTGAGTTTATCGCGAATAAATAATATAGCTTTATTCGTTAAGTGTTCTTTTATAATACGTGAATGAAATGATGCGCATGAATACACATTTCAGATTACAAGTGAATAATTATAACTTCGTAAACAGAATCATATCAATTCAGCTAAAACTTATTCTCTACGAAGTACTCATCTAAGAAAGGGGCGAACGCTTACCATTCAGGAGCAATAGGTTCCGCCTCAGATAGTGCGGGGTTTCATTATATTTTTTCCTTGAGTTTTTGTTTCTTATTGGTTTTCTGTTGTCATTTTTTATGTTACTACTTCGTTTCATTTATGTGCTTAAGGTAGGATATTCTTTTCTAGCACTTTAATGTTAATGTACATAAATCTTACTCTGTCGGCCGCGAGGATTAAGAGCAGGTTGGCGAGAGTTTAGGACAAATAAAATAAATATACTGGTTATCTCGAAGTTGTCTTTGCTTAAAGTAAACGTTAGTCACGTTTTATTAAAAAACAAGTTTAAATTGGAAATAGAAAGGAGATAGATGAAATGCTCCAGGGGGGCGTCACAATTCTTTAAAGATATTGTTACTGTTACAGGAAGGCCTCAGTCTCCCCGGCGCTATCTGACAATCCATGCTGGCAGCACCACGTATTATGGTAATATGGCGTCAGTTTATGTACAAAGGAATGTCGAGGTACCAACACTCCATAATTTGAAGTACGACACCATATTAGACATAGCTCTCTACGACCAAATCACAATAGAAGAACATGGCCTGTACGAAGTGTATAATGATCCGGATAGACCAGTAAAGTTTGTGACGGGTAAGTATTATAGTTATGCAAAATTGTGTTATTGACCTTTCATTACATTTGATAGACTTTTCAGTTATATCCGGAATGTTAGAGAAGGTTAGAAGCTTGGTCATCATGTATATGATTCGTCAATAAAACATTGAAGTTTCACAAGAGCGGGTCACCTTTGTTAATTGTGAGCTTTTAAACAGTGAAAACAACCAAGCATACGGCTCTACAACCTTCATTGATATGTATGTTACAAAGGAAGAACCAAATGTGTTTTACAGGTTTTTTGCCTGTGACGTATTCTTTCGGTAAGCCATATAAGGCGTACGTATGTTTCAATGTCTTTACTTCGAACCGTAGCACCAAAATTAAATAATTTTGTTTACTTTGAAGCGAACTAAAATCCATGTCCCCACAATTTCAATTAAGCTGTGTTTCCAAAACACGTCTGTATTTCTCTCTATATCAGATTAATGATGTTGGAATTTCAATGGCGAACAATACCTTCGATCGTTATGACAACCGGCCCCAGTTGTTCAAAAGGTGATCAGCCTAATCAGTGATTATACGCGAGTCTGTCTAACACAACCATTAAATAAGTTAAAACTTTGTAAATAGCAAATATTTTAGTAGAGACAACTGAATGCATGATCAGCTACACAATACATCTCCAGCACACACGTAGGCATACATACATACGGAGATATTAGTCAGGTGGCATAGGACTAGTAGTTAGCGGCTGCGAATTCCTCACAACTGTATTGAGTAATGTACATGTACAGTTGGAATGACGCCCAAGTATCCACTTTTTGTGGCACGAACGCAGGACGCACGCTTCCCGAACGGAGACCAGCCGCTATACCGATTGGACCTAACGCTGCTTGTACAGCCGCTTCCCGAATGGAGCGAGGTTATCGGCCGCTACCGGCCGATAAACTGCTTAATGATAGCTCGCCGCTATCGACCGATAAACTGATACCTAGCCGATAGTAGTCTCGTTCGACCAGACGCTTGATCACTTGTAATTCAAGAGTCTGGTCAAACACAGGGCATTAACATTATCACTACCAGAGGGCAGTATTTCTTCTTTCGTTTCCGGACGTTATGTCAACGGCATTAAACATTTTAATGAATAATGAAATTAATGAAAAAAGTTACCTATACATGCATTCCTGAAGTACCCGTGTATTCACTTTAATCGAGAACAATGTAAGAAAATGTGTCAAATCTCCAGAATAATGCCATATATTTCCATTGAATAAATCATAACTAAACACAAAACCAACAATGCTGACTGAAGTTTGAAAAAAGCATGCAAAGCAAGTGAGATTTTACCTGTGCACCATTCAAAACACCTTCAAGTTCTCACTCCGGTAATCTGGATTGACTTGTATCAATAGCCTTGTTAGCTTCATGAATTATTGTAAAATATCCAATGAAAATACATGAAATCATTCTTTTTGAAGCATTTTCTTACAATTTTCTCGTTCATAGTGAAAACATGGATACTTCAGGAATGCATATACAGGTAATTTTTTGATGAATTAAAATATTTAATGTAATTTTGGGCCACTCAAATTCTGACTTTAAAAGTTAAAAAGGGTGTGTCAACCTTTGACCAATGATTTTTTTTACCAGAATCTCGGTAAGCCTCGTTATGATGTCACAAAACGAAAGCACTGCGTTTGACCAGACTTTCTATTCGGCGTAGCTTGTGCAGGCAACAAGAGTCTGGTTGAACGAGACTATGACGATAGCGGCGGATCGAACGAACGAACTATGCGGCCGCTTTCACGGGACGGAACTAGTAGTAGTCGTCTTGATAACCGAACCACTCGTAGTGAAGCGGACGTTAATCTACTAAAACAAACACACAACCGGTACTAGTGCCCAATTACACCTGTACTTACCACCCACAAGATATATTTAAGTCCGTATCTAAACTAATAAAGCCGTGTTATTTTAATAATGTCGGATCAGTCTAAGAATAACATTTCTCTTATTCTTATGATTAAAATGTTAGTCAACGATACGATTTCTACAACATATATTTGTTTGAATAGAGCGGTCGTTTAATCTATGTTATAACTGAATGACCACAAATGTATAGGTATACCTAGACAATTACGACACGATTTAAATTCAAATACATGATTGCTAGCGAATTGTAACCATAATCACGGAATCACGTAGTCCGTGCCAATATTCACGGAAGAATTGTCCTACCACATTTTGTATTTTTTGATATCGTAAATATGCCTGTTTGTTACATGAAATACCATATTATACTAGCAATGAATTAAGGTCAGATTTTGTTAGTGATAATCGTTCTGATGTGTATGTCCAATACCATATTTCAGATTTGTATTTCTCTCAGACATACATTTATCGATGTATGCGAGGTATGTGTTGTGCCATAGTAAATTTTGTTGTCAGCATCTCAATTAAAACTCGGCGATACCAAACGGTTTCGGACAATTTTACGTTTTCATAAACAATATAGTAATTAGTGCGCTCTGGTTCCAAACCAGACGTCTATCTGTCAAACTGTCTTAGTCTGATGTCAGAGGCGGCGGAAACTCAGAACTGATAGCATGGTATACAGAACATTGAGATACAGATACATATAGTTTATAATTTATTAAACGTGGGATAGGCCCTGTTACCTGCGGCTATTGTTATTTCGAAGGTAAAGTTAAGTCACAGGGACCCGGTTACAGTTGGTTTGTTAGGACCTATCCCGCTGTGTAAAGAGTAATATATCTCGAAATAAATGCCAACCCTCCTTCCAACAGCTCCCGAGAAAAGATTTAAGCGTCTCAAGTCGCAAGGACGTCTTTTGCCGGTGTATCTAGTTTCTACGACGAAATCGTATAAATTAGATGTATCTCAACCAACACCCGGGAGAATGATGACTCCGACATATCAGTGTTAAGGTCATAGGAGTGTATTGATAAACGGAAATAGGAAGTGCATCCCCAGTTGAAAATCCAATGTAGGGAGACAGTATCACAATTTCCGCATATTCTGATGTTTAATATTAAACTGATAAATATTGCATGTTTATTATTGACAGAACAGTGTGTTAATATTAAAGTATTTCAAAGCAATCCAGGCATTAATTCAGGTGGTTTTTTTTTTATCAATGAGTCACATGTGTCCATTTTTCTGTACTTCAGGAACCCGGCTACTTATTTCACTATTGTGAAGTTTTTCAAGAAAGATAACTCTTTACATGCAATTACTATATGTACATGGTTTTATTATAAAATGTCAATTTTTAAACGTTTATAGATAATTAATTTTACACAATTTCAGCATTTATTAAATTGATATACATTAATGCAAGACTAATCTATGTCAGTATCATTTTTATTGACATTAATTTGCCTAAAATTGTGTCTTTCATTTTTTTTTCAAAACTCACTCCTTTTTACATAAATTTTCATTTCAAATCCTTTAAATTCTGACAACCTAATTTTTTTTTGGTGGCAGAAAATTTTCTTTACTTCAACGCAATATAACTACAAAATTGGAAGAAATTCTACTGAGAAATGGTGACACAATCCTATTTCCTTAAGTCAAAACAAACATTATTGCAACTAATTCGCGGGTCCGTATAGTTTATAGTCTGTTTTTATACGTCTTTGATTGAATTTTGAGACTGAAGTACAATGTCTGTTTTACGTATCGTTTTAGTTTAATTCAAATATTGAACAGGGAAAGTATAAAGACGACCACTGTGCACGGGTGTGTGTAGCTTCGGGTATATAATAATGAAAAATGAAGATGAGTAATACTTACATACCCTTTTCATTATGCATCGGAAACGTATGGTTGGTGTTTCTATCTGTATGCGTTATATGTTTTTGTTATATCAATTGAATTCATATGAGCTTCAGATCACTAATACCGTAAACATTCCAAAAGTTTGAGGGGGTTGGGTTTGGCGGTATCGATGGCAACGCCTCCTTATCTCCAAAGAATTCAACTTCCTATACAACGACAGTATCTGACGAATTACGGCAACGTTTCTTTTGAAATACTTTTCTTACATAATAGTTTTATTTTTCCTTTCTTTATTCTGCATAAAAAAGATATTTTGATAGGAAACAAAGTATATGTTATAATTGACACAAACATGCCCAGTATATAAAACCGTCCTTTTGTATGGTAACTTAATGCAACTTCTTTCAGATATGCTACTGATTCGTGTTTCAATAGGTGAAATCGAAAGGTTGTATGAGATAATTAAGTGTTCATTTCGCAATTCAAAAGAACAAATACAATTTTACACTGAATTTGTTTAAAATTTTCATATTTTTTAGCTTCTTTTATTTCTCTACTCCACGATTTTATTTTACTTTCAAATCATATTCTATGTTTTAAGTTGACAAAATGCTTGTAACTTTTTTATGTTAATTTTCATATATTACATAATTTACGTCTCTGGTGACTCTAAATGTAAATTGAAGAATCTCGTTGGTATCACCCGGGACTGTTTTTTAGTACAATTGAGTTTTAGGTTTCTTCAATGTTTATCGTTTATGTACAATGGTAACATAGTAAAATTAATGCTTAGAATCCTTTGACTATGATTAACAATACAGTAAACCCTCACTCCCGACATTAACTCGATATGACATTTCCTGTTGTCTTCAATATTAGTGAGAGACGATAAAGAAAATGATTATTTTGTTTCGTAGACAGAGGTTTTCACAATATTAGATTCTCTTATATAAACGTGTTTGCTTCTAAGCTCGTTGAAGGAGGCATTTTAATCCAAAATGAAATTCGTCATCCACGTCATATTGAATGGATAAAGTCTAATCACGGACTTATATATAGCAATCAAATTCCGTGGTCTAACGAACGGGACCTACATTGCGATGTCTTCAAGATTCGATTTGATTACCATACAAAATATCCCATCCATACCCGAGGCACGTGTCAACGGTGGGGCTGTTGGTTTGTGTACTGGACACGTCGATTAATCCAATAGACACCAGCTTGTTCCCTTCATGGAATACAATATAACAGATATACTCTACTTTAAAACAAGTACAATCTACATACAAAAGATAACATACAATAAATGATTTCCAATCCTTTCCATGACTTCCCACACAACTGCTTATCTGGTGCGGGGTCATCATTCCAGATTTCCATTTTTTAACATATTTTGACTGAATGCGTCAAGTTAACCAAAATTCATTGTTTTCTTACGTTATCGAAAAATGGTATCTACTTATATTCCTCACGTTCATTGTTTTCTTACGTTATCGATGTCGAATTCGAATGGAACTTCGGTATACTCAGAGACATATAAAGTATATACGTCTCTAATATTCTCTATTTCTTTTCTATACCTCAGCGGATTTAATCATTATTATCATACTATGCTTTTAGAAATTTATAAACTGATCAGAAAAAAACCCCATATTTCTTTCGAGTAGTATATGAATTTATTAAGAAAGTTCAAGTGTTGTATTAATGCAATCCTGGCGTAAAAATCATAAATTTCTTTTCTACAAACGACTCTCTTAAAGTGTCCTGAGTCTATCACGGGCCACTGTATCATTTTAGACACACGCAAAAACACAAAACTCTATTTCTGTTTTCTTACCCTGATATTTACCCGTTTCTATACCTATTACAAGACTCGAGCGACTTGCCGAGAATAGAAACGTCAATCCAGTCAAGCTTTTTACAATAAAGCAACATACAAAATGTTTTTTGTCAACTACAGTATAACCTGTCTAAACTGACCCTGTCTAATACGGATCCCTGTCTGATCCGGCTTTAATTTGTGTGTTCCGGCATATTCCCTATATAAACCGGACCTTGTCCATTCCGAAAACCGGCGTTCCATGAAAAAATATCCTGTTTATTCCGGTCCTTAAATTTCTCTCACACATTCTAAACAAAAAAGAGCTATCTAATGTCGGGTCGGTATTCATTTTATATTATTATCATAAATTGTATATTTTGTATCACTCACTCTCACTCTCTCTCCACACTCACTCACTCCCACACCCTCTCTCCCCAATCACTCACCCATTTCCAGCCCCTCTCTCCCCAATCACTCACCCACTCTCTCTCTCTGTCCCACTCACTCTCCCTCTCTCTCCCACTCACCCTCTCTACCACTCACTTCCAATCACTCTCTCTCTCCCACTAACCCACTCACTCTAGATCTCTCTCCCACTAAGCCCCAACTCCCTTTAACACTCACTCACTCTCACTCACTCTCTCCCACTCCCAAACACTCTCTCTCCAACTTACTCGCCCAATCACTCATCTCCCACACACACTAACTTTCCCTCTCGCTCAGCCTCACACCATACACACTTTGTATTAGAAAACGACCACATTAAGCATGGAGTATCCAATCAGAGGTAACCCTTCACAGTAGATACCTCCAATATCAAAATACAACTGCAGCAGTAGAAGTCTCCTATCAGAGCAGCAATGAAATTGCTCATGAAGATGAAAGTGTAACATTTTTTCACTAACAATCAACACGCCAAAACTAAGATAAAAGGCCAATCAGGGGTTAGGGGAGCTTTGATTACACATCAGAGCACAGTTGGGCTCATCCGTGTTTGAATCAACAACAGCACGGAAATCGTACATTTTTTATATAAAAAAAATCTTTCTACGCAGATGTGCAGTTTTTATAACATAAAATATAATACTACAATAATATTCTAACTCTCAGTCATTTTAAAGGGAGATATTTAAGCGCCTTCTGAACAATTGCATATAAATCATGTTTAAAATGGGAAAGAAAAACATTACAATATCAAATATTTTGGCTAATTCACAAGTTGAGTAAGATGGTAGGTAACTCTTTCTTACTTAATTCGATATCAGGTAGACCAATTACAGTTAATCCCTCCCAACTACCGCTACTAATCCCTGTAATTATCGCTACCAGTATTGATTACTACTCAGATGAACGGTCTACAAATGTACCGACTATCTGACTAAAACGCATTATTTTATTGATGAAGAACGCTTTATAGACTGCATAGTCTATGTGTAAATGAAGTTTGTGTCCTCACCCCGCCCCTTTTCACTTTAAAACCACCAAGATTTGCGTTGGGGTTCAATCTATCCACCGTGTCTTGGAAACAGTTGAGAGCCCAACAGTTTAACCCTACAATGGTGAACATTGGGACCTTGGAATCATTTGGTTAAAAGCGTAGATCTAGCTCCCTTGGGGACTGAGGTGATATGCCAAAAAGGGGGAGCAGGGTGATAAATATTTGAAAGCCTACTCCTCTAGACCACTCTGTGGCATTACTGGGATGAGGAATGTTGTATAAGGACGGTATGAACTGTCGTAAAATTTGTACCGTGTGTTATATGTAATCATAGTTGTACAATGTGTACATGAGACTTTAGCATGATATTTTCCTGTCTTATAAGTGTATAACTCCACAGGGTCTGTATCATGATACTTGCATCCCCTATAGTACATAGCTATTAGCTACCACATATGACTGTAGTATGATATTTGCCTCCCCTATATAGTGCATATTGTATATATGCTAATTGCATTGATTGCATAAACTTGTATTAGCGTGGCTTATTCTAGCTAGATAGGCCGCTATAGCAAATGTTGTATATATTAATTATGATAGCGAGTTTATACCCTGTTTATTGACCATATTATGAGAGTTTAAAAAATGGAGTTAAAAGTTATTAAGCTTATAACTTACTGGACAGCTTGGCCAATGTGGTAAAACAGTAATCACACAATGAAAATAGAGTGTTTATAAACAGCTACATCTAAATCAGGTATATGTAAAACAGAAAGAACAACATGTTAACAAAAGCGTCACTCAAAATCGACAAAATAGGCACAAACGGGTGATTTACAAAAGAATTTGGAAAAGGGTATACGTGTTCTGTACCATTTTACAACACCGTTCTTGTAACCCTAGTAATGTACGTCCTCAAAGTGTTATTTGGGTACTTACAATGACACAAAGCGGAAGTCTAATATACGTAATCAAGAATGCATTATTGAAACGTTACAGGTAAAAAGAATAGAAACACAATTGCGATTATATAATTTGGTCGCAGCTTTCATCTAAAATAACTAAAACAGTTCCACCTGAACGGCTATATCTAAAACAGCTCAAACTTTAAGAGCTACTTTTAAACAACCACATCTAAATAGCTTAATCTTGAAACAGCTACATTAAAGCATTCTTTTTATATCAAACAACTTAATCTTGGATGAGTTCATCTGCATAGTTACTTTTAGAACAGCTAAATCTGTGAGATCTACATTTGGCACAACTACATTTAAACAACTATTTTTCTAAACATCTGCATTAAACAGCTACATTTATAAATTTTACCAACTGTAACGATATAGCAGGCAATATCATGTCGTCACTAATTTTAGAAATATTATCAAAATGTTGTTTTATGTATCGATACAACTTGTGGACCCC